TATATATATATATATATATATATATATATATATATATATATATAAAATTGCACTTAAAAGTGCAAAATTAAGAATGCATTACATTAATGTGCTGGTTACAGAAAAATCAGTCTCTCATTCTAGCGTTGATCTTATACCAGCATCAAATATTACAGATATTAACTCATCCTTGTTTGCCGTCTCAAGCATGTCAAGCAACTTGTACTTCATAAGTACCGGTACTTTGTCTGCATTTCTCAAACTGTAACAAGTGTGCAATACCACATAATTTGTTACTGATTTGATGTAAAATAGGGCCAGTATCGCTCTGATACTTTTCACTGCTCACGTACAGACTCTACACTTCATATAAGGGAGAGCAGTGCCATAATTTATCAATATTCTACATCTGAATGTTTTAGGTTAAAAATATATTTAATACTTGACTTCACACATTGACATTGGTCCATTTTTCCAGCTCGTAATTGGAAACTTCGGCCTGAGTCATGACCAGCAGGAGTCCCAGATGGCATTATGGGCCATCATGGCAGCCCCTCTGCTCATGTCCAATGATCTCCGGGACATTTGCCCTCGCTCCAAGGCGCTGCTGCAGAACAAACACATTATAGCAATTAACCAGGACCCGCTGGGGACGCAGGGGTACCGCACTGCTAAGGTGGGTGACAATTTTGACAAAGCCTCATCTGCAGAACATCTCTAATTTGGCTGGGTCTGCTGATTAACTACACGTTTGTAAATGCGTTTCAGTCAAACAATTTTGAGGTGTGGGAGAAGCCGCTGTCTAACAACAGCCTGGCTGTTGCTGTGATGAACCTGCAAGACATCGGCGGGCCACAAAAATTTCCCGTCGTCGTCATCCCTGGCTGGAAGATCTGCGACCCCCGGTGCACCGTCACCCAGATCCTGCCTCAGTACAAGGAGATGGGTGTTCAAACGAAGCAGAGCGACATCGCCCTTTCTGTGAACCCTACAGGAACCACTCTGCTGACCATCACCCCGATCAAAGGCAACTTCAGACGGGCTCACAAACTGTTCTGGAAGAACGAGTCAGTGAAACGAGATCAAACCAACACTTTGTAGCAGTCGGTTTGTGAAAATTTAAAGGGATTACGGGTTAACTTATGCTGCCATAGGCTTAGACTGCTGGAGAACATTTCTTTAAATGGTTAAAACCGAAGTTTTCATTTGATACTATTTCTATCTTAACATGATTCTCGACCTGCCATTGTGTATCTGTTCCTCTCAAACCCAGCTGGTTGAAGCAGATAGCCACTTGTCCTGAGCCTGGTTCTGCTTCCTCATGAGTTTTTCCTTCCACTGTTGCCTTCATGCTTGCTCAAGATGAGAGTTCTGCAATGAAGTTAAACTCAAAGCAGCCTGCTCCTCAGATAAGCATCAACTTATGTTTCTGTTCAGTGCCCTGAGAAGACTTCTGTTGTTACTTGGTGCCATATAAACAAACGGAATTATGGGAATGTTTATATGTTGACACTTATGACATATCAACACGAACAAATGAAAGGCAAAGTTCAGCATCTCTGGCATGCACATCAGAACAATCCAGCTTTGTAGTGATATGGTAGAGATCTGTACACCTGCAGGTGTGCAATGAAAAATAAATGTGTTTGACCTTGATGAAAATAATGGATTCTTGACAATGTTGTGGTCCCCCTCATTTGAATTAAACACACAAAACACAGTTAAGTTATAAAATTCTGTAACGTTTATTGTAAGTTTGAACAACATGAAATTATGGCAACTATGAATGCTTAACCAAGTGGTATTTCAGAACGGTGAATATTGAGATGTTATCTAAATTTAGGACTAATGCTTAAAATTTAAGGCAAGTTTCTGAGGTTTGTGAACTTAAAATGTCTACAAGTAGTTGGCACTGAAGTTTTTCGTTAGATGGCTTGTTCCTACCCGGAGCTGTAGATTTCACTACAACGAACACCAGGTGAAAGGCGCGGTGTTCAACATCTCAGGTGATGACTTGTCTCTGGCCACAGCACCATCCTTTAGTTTCATGTGGACTTCTCCACATCTCAGCTCCTTCCAAGATGGAGGTCCTGGAGCCCACTGGTTCCTTCAGGCTGGCTCAGAGGCCTGAGCAGACCTGTGCTGCTGTTCGGCGTATTCTTTTTATACTACTAGTGCTTGGTATCATATCTTAGGTCTTATTACCATTTTTCTTTACAATACTTTTGTTGGATGTAACTGGGACACTGTGTACACAATTTTGTTCCACGTGTACCACATGTGGTGCAAATGACGAATAAAAAAAACTTTTAGACTTTTGATAACTGTCTAAAATAAAGAATTCAATCCATAATGTTTCCACATGTTTATTGAAAATAGTGACAACTTCATCCAAAAGAGTGGAGAACATCTTAGAACTGGATGACCTGGCCCTGGAAGAGAAAAATAAATACAGAAATCAGAAGGCTGACTGAATGTTTTATTTTAAGTTACTGAGCTTGGTCAGGCTTAAGAATAACTTTAGCCTGAAATAAACCTGCTAATCTGCATTTAATATTCAGAAAGTACAAGAGTAGTCAAGATTTCTAAAGTGAAACTAACCGAAGTGCCATAAAAGGCAATATTTCTGACGGTGTCAAGTAAAATCCCAACACATACCCACAAGACACACAAGTGTCATTAGCCACATGACGTTTTGATCTGTGGCGATTTTTTAAAATAAACCCATGTTTAAACAAACATTAGATCTTAAAAGATCCTTATTATGATGTCAACACTTGTTAAAAAAAAAAAGAAAAAAAAAAGCACAATTTCTGATGTTGATGGTTAGACCTTAAATACCAGCACAGTTTGTGAAGGGCAGCCAACTACATACCAGTACATTACCAGTACTTAACAGAAACAGCCAATATGACCAAAATAACACGTCAACTGTGGTGACATGCAACAACTGTATGGGATCAAGACGTGTGGCAATTTTGAAGCATTGATACATAAATGTATGCTCAGATTTGGTGAGTAAAGTAATAAGTATAAAATATAAATATATATATATTTTTTTTTTTAAATGAAGCTCATGCCTGCATTTTAGAATTTCATCTAATAAACCATACCATAGATTTTTTTCAAATTGCACCATAGATATACCGTAGTTCAGGCAACCTAGTTTTAATTTCATAGTTCGCAGTAACTTAACTCAACCCCCAAATATATTCACTTCTGACTGCCAAATGCAGAACGTAACATTTTGAAACAGAAATTCACACCCAACATTTTAATACACAAATTACTCCAGAATACCAATCGACATGTTTTAGACTTTGCATCGCTGAGCAGCTCTTATGAAAAATATTTACGCCTTAAACATGTATTTTACACGAGTATTTAAAGCATGAAATGTATTTTTAAATACAGCCGAGTAGATTCTGTGGCACTTGATGCTAACAGGAGCACTACAGATATGAGATGAACTTGTATTTTTTTCTAATTACACCATGATTGTAGGGATTATAAATTTGTTTGTCTTTTGCTAGAATGGCGACTTTCAAACGCGAGTTAACTGAAGCAAAATGAGTTACTATTCAAGTTGTGAGTTTAACAACTACTTAAGAATAAAAAAAAATCCTCAAACCAGCCTTAAGATTATTAAAGTTTTGTTCTTTGAATCAACAAAACGAACCACGTAAACTAAATAAAGTTCTGCTCCAACACTTTCAATAAATCAGCAATTAATGCTTAATATACAAACAAAAATGTTAACTAAGATTGACGTTCTGATCCTGAATCTGTAATGCATTTTTGAATGCCCTCAAACTTTTAGAAATGTGGATTTCATCTTTTTTTTTTTTGATGTGTGCAACAATCTAAAATACGCTTCGGAGTTGACTCAACATAAAATGATGTTGCTCTGTATTTTAATGTGCACAACAGCACCCTCCTCACCAGGTACACGTTTCTTACCTTTCTCTTCTTGTCACCACCCAACTCGAAGTGCTTGCATCTCTTGATGGCCAGCATTCTCTTGGACCTGCAGTTGGGTTCCACGCACTCGAGCCTCAACACAATTTTCTTTGTAGTCTTGGCCTGAAAACAACATTTCAATGAGCGACTCCTTACATATCTCCACAAAGGTGCTACAAGCAAATGAAACTCGGCCAATACCTTTTTACGGAAAATTGGTTTTGTTTGTCCTCCGTACCCGCTCTGTTTTCTGTCGTATCTCCTCTTACCTGCAAATAATTAAAAGTTTAGCCACTGATCATCCACCCAAAACATTTAAACCAAAGAGAAATAAAAATTACCCTGTGCATAAAGGGAATCCTTTCCCTTCTTGTATTGGGTAACTTTGTGCGGTTGGTGCTTCTTGCACTTCTTGCAGTAAGTCCTGCGGGTCTTCGGGACGTTCACCTGCACGACAGGTAAGAAAATACGTCAACTGATGAAATGAATCTGAAACATTCACCGATTAGGCCTCATGATTAGAACAGAGCTGATGGCAGCAAATAAAACATGCCAGAACTTAGACGGCTATCAAACACAATGATAGTTGTGATACATAAAAACTTATAAAAACAATGTTTTTATTATCTCAAAAAAATATTGTTCTTCAGGCAGGTAGCTGTTAGCTTCCCGTAGGTTAAGGCAACTGGTAGCATGTAGCTTCTTAGCGTATAAAAATGCCGCTTTTTAACATAAAAACGCAGCTAAACACAACTTGAATGGGAGAAATTTATGTTTCGTATGAAATATATTGCCCTTAGTGGAAGCTCGACTAAAATGTCTCATACAGCGGCATTTTTTTTTATCAGCTACATTAAGCAAGAAAAATAGAACACAAACTTATTAATTTTGCCATCATAGCGCTTAATAAAATATTAACTACACATAAGAGCCGAATTATTGCATGTAAAGTGTTTCAACCAAGAGGATTGAGTTTGATTTTACGAAATGTCTGGACGTAGTCGATTCATACCATGGTTGCGACCCGAAGCAGAGGAAAAAGAGGAAGGAAGAGGCCGGAAGCACTTCTTGAAACGGAGCTCACGCGGTGAACACGAGGACCGCCTCGCGCTCTTCCCTCTAGTGGCCGGAGGTGGAACTACAGCGTGACCAAATATTTCCCTCTGTTGCTAAAACTTTGTTTGTTGCATCCTTCTAAACTACATGATTTTTTTTTTCTAACTGATGAAAACATTTTAAGAAATACTTGGCACATTTTTCAAGTATGCATAGTTTACATGAACGTCACTTGGGTTTTGTTAGTGTACTAAATTGTTTTTGAGGATAAATTGGTGAAGTTTCAACCAGTGGTTTACAGCTTGTTTTGACATTTGATGTCAAACAAAAAGCTGATTGGAAAGCCAGGATCAAATTTCTGACTAGACCTCAGTATCAAAAGTAGATTTTCGTTATCTTCCCATTTTAATTTAAACCTTTCATAAACTGTTGGTGTACCAAAACAGTGCAAACTATTTTACCTCCAGCTGTAACAAAAGAAGCATGTCTTATTTGTTCCTTGTTCCTGAGGAATAAAAATCAAATAATGGACCATGAAATTATACTGTACATGTATAACAAGAACCAAATCAGAACTTTTAACATATGAGCTATAATGTTTTTGTCCATGTATGTGTGTTCATTCAACCTGTATTTAGACAGGTAAATCCCATCGAGCCTCGAGGACTCATTTACAAGAGAGACCTGATTCCAACAAAGAGTGATGATAACAATGGACAAGAGTGACAACAATAAACAGTTATAAAAAGTCATATAGATTTTTTTTTTAAACAAATAGGATGGCTAAAAAAAGAAAAGTAACAAAAAACAGCTAGATTCTAAGGCGAAGGTAGAAAACTAAAAACAGGAACATGTCTGCATTGGTCCCTGCCAGGAGTCCAACAGATTCTTAAAGCCACTTAGAGAGGTCAAGGTCGAGAGCTTCTCATCTTTTTGTAAAATATTTCAGGAAACAGGAGCGGAGTAGGAGAAGGTCCTTTTGCCTAGTTCAGTCCGCACTGAGGGAACACTGCAGATAATAATGTCCTGAGAGCGCACGCTGTAGCTGCACTCACGCAGAGACATGTAGGAGGAGATGTATGAAGGCAGCAGACCAAGAAGTGATTTAAAAATGAAAATGTATCAGTGAGAGAGTCTGTGTGAAGTTAATGATGTCCAGTTAACCAGTGAATACAGGGTGCAGTGGTGGCTACGATAATCACAGCCAGTTATGAATCTTAGGAGTGTTCATGTAAATAATGTCACCGTAATCAATGGAGGGAAGGAAGGTCACAGATACAAGGCGTTTCAAGGCGTGTGTTTTTCTGTATCCTCGAATGGATTTCAGCAAAACTTTTAGAATTATTTAGATTATCTACAACTGATCGTCTTTCAAAAGCCATCCTTTAACTGGCATTAGCCACAAAAATGGCTGAAACTTACTCAGTTTAATAGATATTTAGAGCTAAAATTTGAGTGATAGTAGCTGAGAGTCGTTCAAAACACATACTCTGAGTGTGATATTTAATAATATTGCGTGCGATGACGTAGAATGTTGTTTTCAAGATCTGACCAAACAGGCTCAGACTCTATGTATTCTCATCATAAGATGATCTAAAGCTGGTATGGAAGGCAGGGGGTGATATGCATTTATTCAAAGAATACTGTGCCGTTTATTCAAGTGCGTAGATATTGTGCATCATCCCCACCTCCCCTCCCCCACCACCCCCTTCTGGGACAAAGTGTGATATGAAACACAGATCATTATTAGGTTGTTTTTTTCTCTTCCTCCTTTAATAGTCAAATTTTCAGTGAAACAAACTAACAGTCCCTACAGCTAAAAGTGTTAAAACATGTTCTATCCAAACAAGCTCCCACGAGTAATGTTTAACCAGGCTTCCACTTATCACCAAAACTGTCCAGAGGGCTGATATGAAAATGAGCAGGAAGAAAAAGGGGAAGTAAGCAGAGCTGATTCCTCTCGGTGGGTGTGTTTTAACCTCTTGCATCACAAACTAACAAAAACTTGATGAAAAGGGAGCTGCTGAGGCGAAGGTTTGTGCCACGGCTTCAGGCCTCGCAGCATCTGATGCTTGACGTTTTCTGCCGCCGAGTAAGTGTCAACGCTCTCTGAATGATGCGCTGTAGTTGTTTTGAGTCTTTCTATGTTTGAAGGGTGGCGTGAATTACAGAAGACGGCTAACGATACATTTGATCTGAAAGACTGAATACAGAAGCAAAAGTGTTCTGCTGATTTGTCAGAAGGTGACATGTGGAAATACTTCTGAGCAAATCGTAGAAAAGGTAGATGTTTGCTTCAAAAATGATTCAATCAAATCATTGTTGACACGTTTGCTGAAATGTTTGTGTTGAAAAATGTGCAGAAAGTTGCTGCTTTAAGAGAACTGAGAAGTTGCATGTTCAAAATAACATAGTCTGAAGAAGTTAGACCACAAGTCAGATACATGTAAACATTCTTAGTGACTCGACTCTTCGTTTTTCTCATCGTCTCTCCCTTTTGCTCATGTTTCACGCCACATTTAGCTCCTGTTAGTCTCTCATCTTTTCTGTGTCATACCACAGTCATCGTTGAAAGTCAAACAAAACGTTCATTTATGAGTATTTGTTAAGTTCAGACCTTTTTTCATGACGTTTGACATGCCATCAGAGCTCGTCTCTATAAGCTCCATATCAGAAAAGCAGTTTACAACAATTAGAAAGTGACTAAAATAAGTCAAAGGAAAGGGAGAATTAGGCTGAACATAACGTGTTATTCCCCATGTCTACAGGAACTTGTATGGGGTTTTACTTTATTGTGGTGTCAGGTAGAAGTGCTGCAGGGCTCTTGGTTTTTCTCCCTCCATGTTTCCATGTAACACTGATGCAACTTCCCTGTGCGTTTGTCTGTATCAGCCATCGTGAGTCAACTCTCTTTAGAAGAGAAGAAAAGTCCCTGTTTGGTAGCCATGACTTAAAACATATCAAGTTCAAATGCTCCAAAGATGGAGAATAATACATTTTGTTTATTAAAGATGAGACGCATGAGAAATTGGGAAAAAAATGCTTTGCGGTATAGAGAACACTGCTGTCCAGACATGATGGTGCAAATGAAGGTAAGAGTATTGAAACGTCATACAAAGTCTCACTCATTTAGCAGTGGCAGGTGGAGGGGGGCAGACGTTTCTGGCTGAGCTACAGCTCAGATGATAGAAGGAAGTGCTGGCAGGCTGAAAATAGTCTGAGCTGAGCTGCATCTGACAGAAACTGACTGAGCGCTCAGCCGTGCAACAAACACGAGTCCATTTCTGAGGGGACACCGGGATTATTTAATCTATTTAACCTGAAGTGCATGTTTTTAGAATAACGTGTTGATGGGAAACATCTGACTTTTTAGTTCTGCGATATTCTAACCAAAGCAGACTTTACAACTTTGAATAGAAAAGAATAGAATAGCTTCCAATTGTATAACATGCTGACTTGTCTGTTTCTATTAGTTTAAATGTAAGTTGTGTCCGAATAAAATTCATTTTCATGACTTATAATGATGTTTTTAACTTCTTTTTCTAAGTTATTTAAGAAATTGAATGTTTTTACTGAGCCCACATTATCATTTTTCATATGAGCTAACTCATCTGCATTTGAACTATCTGGAGGGTTTAGAGGCAAACGTTTTGTTTTAGTCCTGACAAATTACAAAAAATAAGTATAAGTTATAAAGAGATACTTGTTAGTTTTTCTGCTTATCCTTAATGAAGATTTAAAAAAAAGGAAGGACGTGTGAGCGAAAGTGTGAAAGGGAAATTCTGCTCTGTAATGGTGGTTCTTTAATTTTGACATAAATGAAGGTAAACACGTTTCACGAAGACATTGTTTCTTGAAACACTCAGAACACAAGAAACTAGATCTTCCTTTTTAAAAGTGTGTGCCTCTTTTTATCCAAAACCAGACCATCTGACCCTGACGTATCATCTAAAGTTAGTTTCAGAAGTTACAGCCATGACTTCTATGATAAACAACTAAATATTGTTTCATTTCCAAGTTGTGCTTTCTCTCAGCAGGAGTGCCACCAAAGGGGTACCAGAGGGGCAATAGCCCTCTCTATAATCTGCTGCCTCTACTGGTCAGAGAATCTTACATGACAATCGGTTAGCAAAATATCTCATGATTTAGAGGATGGATTTTAATGAAGGGCAGCATGGTGGTGCAACTGGTAGAGCTGCTGCCTCTCAGCAAGAAGGTTGCCAGTTCAAATCCCGGTCCAGGGGAACCTTCTGGGTGATGTTTCCATATTCTCTCCATGCATGCGTGGGTTTTCTCCGGGTACTCCAGTTTCCTCCCACAGACCAAAAACATGCATGTTAGGCTGATTGGTAATTCTGAATCAGGGATGTCAAACTCACTTACAAAAGGGGTCCAAAATTAAAAACCTGTTTCAAACCAAGGTCCAGTTTCAGAATCTGCATTAACTCAAATCAAATACCCAACATCTTTTCTTGGTTGCAGGTTCCTCAACAAGAGTTTGATTAGTCTCATTTGACATTTTCTGTTAAACTTTTGACATCATAATCAAAGATTACTGAAAAAATTTAAAGTGATTAAAGTGTTTTACATTTAATATAGCATCTTGGGGGCCAGATAAGATGTCAGTGAGGGCCACATTTGGCTCTCGGGCCTTGAGTTTGACACATATGCTCTAAATTGTCCCTAGGTGTGAGTGAGAGAGTGAATGATTGTTTGTCTCATTTGTCTCTATGTGGCCCTGAGATGGACTGGAGACATGTACAGGGTGTCCCACATCTCTCACACAGTGACTGGTGGACATGGGCACCAGTGATACCCCTGATCCAAAAAGGAAGAAGTGGCTAAAAGATAATGGATGGGTGGATATTAATGAAATTTTCAGAAAATAATCATTGGATGTACGTCTATAGCTGATTAACTTTAGGAGTCAACCACATTTAATCTCCTAGGACCTGGCATTCACATATGTGAACATTATAGGAGTTAATAATGCATGTCATGCAAGAGTTGAGTCATAGGAGGTTAAGCTGGCTGCCACAGTTATTCAACATTAGCAAACACAAAAATGGTAATGGCTCAGTAAAGTTTAAAGATATTGAACCAGATTTAGGTGTGGTATCTGCTGAGAGTCATCCTCAACACGTACTTCGAGTGCTGACAGATTGTGCACTTTTCTTTGAAACTTTGACATAGAAGGGACTGACATGCATCCTTTCAAGGAATGCTAGTTTCATTTATAAATTTGATTTTAAGAGAGGAGGGGACAAGCTTCGATGAGTTGAGTAGCTCAAGTTTCAAGGGTTAACGTTATTGGCATTTGCATCACGTGTGGAACATGAGGCGGAATGAAATTGTGTACTCAACGTCCCAGTTACACTCAAAAATAGCAAAAATAAAAAATATAAAAAAGAAACAGTATATAAGGATCTAAAATATATGCTAAACAATAGTAATACAATATAATATGGTGCATTATGCATGTAGCTGTGCTGTTCTTTATTAATAATATTGACTAAAAAATAAAAAAATAAAAGGTAGGTGCATATCATAAGCTGACCCTCGAATTCCCACATTGCAGGAATTTTTTAAAAATAAACAACAATATAATTAAACTTCTGAATTTCAGTCATGGGTTTTGCATATGGTGTACCAACCTCATTTTATCAGTGCACCCCTTCTGTCTCCCAGACAATTTATCTCACAAAATTCAAACACATTTAATACAACTGTCCACAAATTTGGTGGGGAGAGTTTTCTATTTCCTCCCAGCTCCCAGTCCAGCTTTACATTTAGACCATGAAGAGCTGGACCACAGAACAGCTGAGGAAAACAGATACGGCTGCCGCAGGGGGAAATGTTGGAGAAAAAGGATGTTGCTGGCACGGCACGCTTGCTTATGCAAACGATGGATAATCACTGTCGCTCACACTACGTCTCTTCTTTTTTCTCCAGATACCCTCACATGTTAGCTGCTTTGCTCTGAATCTATGAAAAGTGTGCAGGTATTACCAAAATGCACGTTCTGAATATGTGTGAAACATAAAAAAAAAACTGTTATAAATCATTAGGTCTGGTGAAGCTATTAATTGTTCTGAGCGAAACGACTGCTGCCAACGTGTGAACTTGCTGTTTACTGCGGTTCTGCCACAAATAAGTTGGGTGTTATGCTGCTTTTTGTTTCATGAATGTTTTTCTGTTTCATTTTCTTGTTTCATTGTAGAAAAGTCTGGACTGAATCATGTCAGACATCATACTGGAGGAAGTCTTCATTAAACGATCCCAGCAAAAAAAGAAAACTTCACCTTTAAACTACAAGGAGAGATGGTTTATTCTCACCAAGGAAAAGTTAGCGTACTATGATTATGATTCTGAAAAAGGGGTATGTATATACCAGTATGTGACTAGAGAGATTTTCTGAATGTGAACTGTATTTGATTTGTCTGTTATTTTATAAAAGTCTGTTTTGTCCTATGTTGTTCAGAAGAGGAAATGTCAGAAAGGATCAGTTGATCTTGAAAAAGTCAAGTGTGTGGAGACGGTCCAGCCGGATCCCAATGCCCCGCAGGAGCGCAAGTATGCCTTCCAGGTAGACGGTCTTCTCACTGTACTCTCCTAATAAATTTACAGAAACTTATTTATTCACTGGTCATGCTGATGGGAGTTTGCACACAAACTATGTGTCCTTTCAAACTAAATACTTCTGACAGTTTGTGTTGTGAAAGTTGACTCTTAAAGAAGTGAAACTGTCTCAGATGAACAAGGGCTTTCAGTGACAGAGCAGGTGTTAAAAGAGTCTACCCACCAACAAAGTCTGAAGAGCCCATAATGCATTTAGGGCAGTTTATGCATGCTTCGTCTAACTTACTTTGACTACAACAAATTAGCTGATGTCCTAATAACATTTGGATTTTGTCACAGATCGTTTACGATGAAGGGCCGTTGTACATCTTTGCAAAAACTGAAGAAATTCGGGCTCTGTGGCTAAAACGGTTGAATGAATGTAAGTATGCAGTTTTATATAAATAACTTATCTTTATTTGACATGTCAGTCACAATAACTTGTAGGCCTTGGTATCATCTTTACAGAATTGCATGCCAGTGCAAATGCAAATGCTAGTTTAATGTAAATGTTTTGTACATGAGTGTCTGTCTTTGTGCTGTAGTGGTGCGCGTCAACAAAGACCTGATGCAGAAGTATCATCCTTGTTTCTGGGTGGATGGGGTGTGGCTTTGCTGCCAGCAGGAAGTTAAACAAGCTATGGGCTGCAAAGTACTGGATACCAAGATTGGTGAGAATGACATTTCCTTTAATTTAAAAGCTGAAACCCTGAACTTTACAGTAATCAGAGCAAATAAACGTTAGGTTTTAGGCCGAGTCGAAGCGTATCCAGGAAGCCCCTTCCTCCAACCCCAACAGAGGTACACTGAGTCCTTAAGGTTTATTTTAGATCTGTATTCATTGTGAATACATGTGTCTTCAATATATATTCAATAAACTCATATTGTTCCAGGAGAAGGTTAGTCGGCCTTTACCTCCACAGCCTCCTGAGCCTCCTGCGCCTTCGTCAAGCATGACCGTCATCGCTGAGTACGATTACACACCCATGACACCCCAGGACCTGCAGCTGAGAAAGAACGAAGAGTACACCATCCTGGAGAAGTCTGACCCAAACTGGTGGAAAGCCCGAGATGCATATGGGTGAGAAGACCCACACATGAGATCAACACTTGTTACACATAAAAAAATGAATAAATAAAACAAGATCCAACATTTTATTCAGATATTCAGATTATATAATCGGCTTATTTGCATTCCTGAACAACCATCAACATCAGCGAGGAGCCTCACCAGTACGCATACCGCAAGAATTGATCAACAGAGGACGCCATTTCCTCTGTGGTCCACACTGCTCTCACCCACCTGGAGCAGAAGAACTCCTACTTCCATTTGCTCTTTTTGGACTTCACATCTGCCTCCAACACCATGACCCCCCCAAACCCTGATGGACAAACTATTCACACTAGGACTAAGCCCCTTCATTTGCAACTGGGTACTAGACTTCTTCACAAACAGACCTCAGTCTGTGAGGATCCACAACTTCTTCTTATTCACCATAACCCTCAGCACTGGCTCCCCTCAGGGCTGTGTGTTGAGCCCGCTCCTGTTCACTCTGCTCACATATGACTGTGCAGCTACACATCCAGGCTGTCACATTGTAAAGTTTGCAGATGATACAGCGGTGGTGAGATGCATCACAAACAACAACAAGTCCAGCTACAGGCAGGAAGTGGAACACCTGGAGAGCTGGTGCAAAGAGAATAACCTTCACATCAATGTGAAGAAGATGAAGGAGATGGTCATGGACTTCAGAAGGAACAAACACACCTACACCCCCTGAACATAGGAGGATTTGCGGTGAAAGTGGTCTCCAGCTACAAGTACTTGGGTGTGCACCTGAATGACAACATCAGCTGGGGCAACAACACTTCCAGTCTTATCAAGAAAGCTCATCAGAGACTCTACTTCCTCAGGCGGCTGAGGCGAGCTGGTCTGGGAAGCTCAGTCCTAACCTCCTTCTACAGGTGTGCAGTGGAGAGCATCCTGTACTCTGGCATCAACGTGTGGCATGGAGGCTGCACAGCTGCAGAAAGAAAAGCTTTGCAGAGAGTGGTGAAGGCTGCACAGAAGACTGTTGGAGTCAGTCTCCCCACCGTCACAGACATTTACATCTCTAGATGCAGGAAGAGGGCCACCTGCATCATGAAGGACCCCACTCACCCAGCACACACACTTTTTGCCCCACTCCCCTCAGGAAGGAGGTTAAGGAGCATTAAGTGTAGAACCACTAGACTGAGGAGCAGCTTCTACTCTGACGCTGTTATAGACTCATGAATCTCTAACCAGGATAATCACTGTGAAAAACCACTGTGATGCCATTTGATTGTTGATATGTGCTGCTGATTATCCATGCTGCTGATCTCATGCTGCTGATTTATTCATGCTGCTGTTCATTTGTACTCAAGACTCGTTTGTGCTGCTGTCGGCGGAATTGGTTTTTGTACTACTAGTGCTTAGCATTTTTTAATTAACATTTTTCTTAGTTCATATCTTAGATCTTATTACTGTTTTTCTTTTACAATTTATACTTTTGTTGGATGTAACTGGGACCCTGTGTGCACAATTTCGTTCCATCACATGTACCACATGAGATGTGAATGACAATAAAGAAATCTTGACCTTGACATAAAGCCAAGCAAGGAAAGGGACGCTTGAAAAAAAAGTAATTTGTATTTAAAAACAAGTATAATGAATATTAAAACACTATTAAAAACATAAAAGAAAACCACTCAGAATATCAAACTAATTTGCACAATTTGGCAAATGTACTAAACTTTGAAAAGCTAGAACTTTTGTCACAATCTTGTTGGTGTGAAACACATCAATGAGAGCTATTTATATTGGTTGAAGGCCTCAGACTGACGAAGTCTTTCGGATGAAAGACGAAACGTTTCTCCCAAAAAGAAACTGTCCAGATGACGTGATTTATCCTTTTTGTTTTTTGGTGACATTATCGTTGGTGTTTTGTGTCACAGAAAAGAAGGCTACATACCAAGTAATTATGTCGTGGAGGCGGAAAAGGGACTTGAAAAATTTGTGTGAGTACAAACTTTATATTTCTGTTCATAAATATGAGGACTGGTGTTCATATATATATGTCTCATTATTACGACATTCGTTTTGACAGCTGGTACAGTAAGAACATGAACCGCAGCCAAGCAGAGCAGCTGCTGAAGTCTGAGGTAAACTTGCACATTTTCATCCACGCCATGCTCGACGCGCCTTCTCTCCTGAACAAAAAGAGGTGATGGATGTGAAACTCATAGAATATATGCTGTTTGTTCCAGAACAAAGATGGAGGTTTCCTGGTGCGGGATTCAAGCAAAGCTGGGAAATACACCGTGTCTTTGCTCACTAAGGGCGGCGGGTGAGTAACCTAAGAAAAACACTGCTACCATTTATTTCGTTGCTCCACTGCCTCCAGTCATGTGTGAACATATGAAAAGATGGAACTGTGCGTAATGAAAGCGGAAACTGCAGGCCACAGAGGACAAAGATGTAAATTATTCATGCAAAACGAGGATTAATTTGTCTAGAAGTTTTTTTTTCCTCTAAGACTATCTGTAGTTGACAGTGAGGAGATATTAATTGTACACGCAAGCTTGATAACTGGCAGGTTCCTGTGCAGATGACAGCTTGTTGATTTACATCCACACTTCTTCCTCTCTCCACAGGGAAATAACTGGAAGCTGCAGACACTATAACATCTGCACAACCCCACAGGGACAGTTTTACCTGGCAGAGAAGCATCACTTTAACACTATTCCAGAGCTCATCAACTATCACCAGCACAACGCAGCAGGTCAATAATACACGTGGTTGTACAGGATGATGATGCAACATTTTGGGCCAAAATACTATTAAAATAAAAATAAGATCTGGCTGCGTTAACAGGAAAAGAGAAATTACTTAACAGAGGGAACTTTGTGAAAAGTTGTTGAAATAACCTTCCCTCCCTTAAATTAGTGGAAATAAAACTATCATTAATGTCAAATATGTATTTTTTTTTATTTTTAATACTTTAATCCTAAATGAAAAAAATCCTATTTCAGATCGTGTTAAGTCCGGATCTACAAGAAAACTGTTTTTTGCAGCACTGTGTACTTATATTGGTGTGCTATTCATGCACATGGTAAAAAATAATGTTTTAAACCTTTAAAATTTGTAACAAATTGTTATTTTTACTATATTTATTTTTTCTTTTTACTGAAATGAGTTTGCAAACAATAAATAGTGAAAGCTATATAATCAGTTTTAACCACAGACTAGTTTAAAAAGAAGTCTTTGTATCTGAGACCCACCAAATATAATTTGTAGTCTACAGACTTCCCCTTTTTGTACAAATAGTGGTAACACACTGGTTATGTGATTAAAGGTTATATTACCTCATATTCACCAAAAAAAAACAACAAAAAAAAAAACAGTAATTTACAGTCAGTAGCCAATATATTAAATTCAATTCAGTTCAGTTTATTTATATAGTGCCAATTCACAACAAAGTTGTCTCAGGGCACCGAACAGAAACATTCACATACATAGAAAAGCCAATTAGTAAAGTTCTCTATCTAAAGAGGCCAGCAGACACGTTGAATCTTCACTTTGTCGCAGTCTCCCATCCTGAGCAAGCACAAAGGCAACAGTGGAAAGGAAACACTCCCTTTTTAAAATGAAGAAACCTCCAGCAGAACCAGGCTCAGGACAAGCGGCCGTCTGCTTTGACCGGATGGGTTTGAGAGGACATGAAGGAGAGACAAACGAACACAGAACGGCAGGTCCAGATGTAGGTGCAGGTGTACCTGAGGAACAAAAACACATGTCAAGGATAGATTTTTTTTTTTATTCCAAATACAAAACAGGGTGAGCAGAGTAAGTAAAGACAGTAGTATACTGAAGAAATATGGTCAGTTTGTCCTCCAGCAGTCTAAGCCTATAGCAGCATAACTAAGGGATAACTCAGGAAACCCAAGCCAACTAACTATAGGATTTATCAAAAAGGAAATAATTAAGCCTAAACTTAAAACTGGACAATGTGTCAGCCTCACGGACAGAAACTGGAAGTTGGTTCCACAACAGAGGAGCCTGATAACTGAAAGCTCTGCCTCCCATTCTGCTTTTGGAAACTCTAGGAACCACAAGTAAACCTGTAGTCTGAGAGTGAAGTGCTCTGTTAGGAAAATATGGAACAATATACACCCACAATGCTTTGCATTTTAAGTAACAAACTAGACTGAAAAATGTATATTAAGTTTACTGACAAAATTTGCAGTATTAAGCCATAAAACTAGAGTAAGTTTGAACAGAGAACAACTGTGAGTTGTTCTCAGTTGACCCGTCATATGATGACTGTACATTACCACAGACTCAGAAAATCGGTCACCTCAAGCTAAAAACCCAAGATTTACCCTTAAAGCATCATTTGCACAGTCACATGCTGTAAAGGCTAAATACGATACTTGTACTGGAAGAAAAATAGCAGTGTTTAACTGTAAATTTGCAGCATGAAATAACAGTGGAGTGTTTGTAGATTTTAGTTTAAAAATGGAACAATCAATCTGTATCAAACTTTTTCCTGTGGATTCCAAAATGTATTTTGATAAATGCACGCTGCCGAATTTACTCTGCATAAAGAGTTTACCGGCATTTGACCAAAGCCTGCTCAAATATGATTAGTCACTCAGACTACAAATGAGCAGAAACAGGAAGTGTCCTGCAACAGTAGACATGTTCCTTGCCAACACATTGCATGCTCATACAGAAATGATTGTTTTGGAATATTTTCCTGTTTTTAAAGTGGTGGCAAATTTGCAAATTCAAGCAGTTAAGTAACCTAACAAATAGAAACTGATTGACACAACATCAGTAAATGTATATGGGGGCAACTTGCTACAAAAGTCAAGCAAACTTTGACAAAGGTTTACTACAGAAACTCACAGGAAAACCCAACGTTATTTCTGGATCTAGAATTCTGAAGCAGCGTGTCATTTTATGTTTCAAAGATCAACTGCACAGAAAAAGAAGCAGGTCAAAGGTATATGTTCATCTGCTCATTTGTGCTTCTGCATGGCCAGTCTTACTGTTGAGCTGTCATGACTGTGTCTTCCTGTCTCTAGGTATGGTTAGCAGGCTGAAGCACATCGTATCGAATCGACAAAGGCCTCCATCAACAGCAGGGCTCGGCTATGGTAAGTTTGTGTGGATTACTTCTAATTACTGCAATTTAGATTTCTATTTTATTGTACAGATTGCAAATATTCTAACATAATTATTTTATGGTAAGAGTTGGGTTAAAGGGTTGACAAACCAAATTTTTTTTTAGAAAACTGTAAAAGTTGCCCACATTTGCTGTGATACGTTTTCTTCTTTAATCTGTGTTAACCATCTAACCACCATGACATGAGAGCTTTATCAGTCTCATCTCTCAGCAAACCAGCAAACACTGATCTAATTTGACATGCGTGCTACCAACATAAACGTGCTCCTTCGTTCTGCCTCGTTGTCTAGGTGTGTGGGAGATCGACCCCCGCGACCTCACCTTCATCAAGGAGTTGGGCAACGGTCAGTTTGGGGTGGTGAAGTACGGCAAGTGGCAGGGCCAACACGATGTGGCCATCAAGATGATTAGAGAGGGCTCCATGTCAGAAGACGATTTCATAGAAGAAGCTAAAATCATGATGTAAGCGCAACTCAACTCCAGCTTAATAACTCAACTGAATCTGAGCCACACCTTTGAGGAAAAACAGCTACACTTCTTCTTTTACTCAAACCAGGAAGCTTCGCCATGAGAACCTGGTACAGCTGTATGGCGTCTGCACCAAACAAAGACCAATTTACATAGTGACTGAGTTCCTCGCAAATGGCTGCCTGCTGACATACCTGAAAGAGGGCCTGACACAGCATCCAACGACAGTCCAGCTCCTTGAGATGTGTAAAGACGTGGCAGAGGGCATGGCGTATCTCGAGACGAAGCAGTACATCCACAGAGACCTGGTAAAAGACAATGGTCTACTGTATGACAGCGCAACACAAATCCCACTACATTCCTGACTCAAGATAAACTGCATGATAACACTAAAAGTTAATTGGTTACACTTGAACCAAATGTGTTTGTTTTATCTTCAGGCTGCCAGGAACTGTTTAGTAGATGCAAATGGAACTATCAAAGTAACGGACTTTGGCCTATCGAGGTAAAACACTGTAAGGATAGTTTGGTCATTTTTGACGTGATGTTCTATCAGATAGTTTTAAGTAGTAGTACCATATCAGACTGGACATGTCACAAAGCACAATAGGTGGAGAATAGGGTAAACGTCTTTGTCCAGGCTATGTTGTTCTTAGAGACAGTTGGTTTGTAATCCTGAAAAATGGTTGGAAAAGAAGCTGGCCCACGTTTGGTTGACAATTAGCCTAGCTTGGACAAAATGATTTGCCTCTTTTTCCATCCATGCTCTATGGCTTATCTATGGCTTATACTAATGATAACTATATGACAGGACACTTCAAAACTGACCATCCCTTTAATTAAATCTAATACAAAACAAGAAGTGGTGGGAATTATACAAACTGACACTCAAATTCCTTTCCATGACACTTAGATATGTTTTAGATGATGAGTACACAAGTTCAGCAGGCTCAAAGTTCCCAGTTCGCTGGTCACCACCAGAGGTCCTGCTGTACTGCAAGTTCAGCAGCAAGTCAGACATCTGGGCCTACGGTGAGAATCCTTTCTTTCACATTCTGTTTATTTGTTCTTATTAGCTGTAATCCAATCATTTCACTAAGTCTAATCTACAATTGTGATTTCAAAAATTGTGATTTTTTTTTTTACGTTAACTGTTCATTATCAGGAGTTTTAATGTGGGAGGTGTACACTTTGGGTAGACTTCCATATGAACGCCTCAACAACACAGAAATAGTGGATCAGGTGTCCCGGGGCCTGCTTCTCTTCCGTCCCCAGCTGGCCAACGAAAAGGTCTACAGCATCATGAAAAGCTGTTGGTTTGAGGTAAGCACATTTATTATGAGCCTCAGTACATGGTGCAATATAGATACAGTACATTCATTCAACCTTTATTTATACATGTTAGTCTCTTTGAGCCTCTGGGACTCATGAGACCTGGTTTTTTTTTAACAAAGAATGGTGATAACAGTAGACAACAAAGACAATAGACAATCATAAAAGAAATGTTTTTGAAAAACAGTGACATGTTTCCTTTATTTTCAGAAACCAGATGAAAGGCCCACTTTTCAGGACTTGGCACTGAATGTCCAGGATTTGCTTTATGAACTCCAATAGACCTGAGAAAAACCAGAGGAACACTCCGATCCGCAAAGAAACATCTCTCCATGAACTTGGAAAGTTTAAATGTTACTAAAACTATTAACGCAATGAATGTAGAAGTGTAAGCCTTTTCAGGGTTGTTTGTAATGTGAATATTTGTAACGTGAACGTACTTATTCATAAACCTTTATATCGCAGTGACAGAGATGCAGTCCTATAGTGAATAGAGTTTGTATATTTCACAGAAAGAGGCGTAATTAAAACATGTTTTTACGTTTTCTGTGTATGTTATCCTGTCAAATTATTGTGGGTTATTGATACTTGTATTTGTTGTGTTGCACAAAGACAAGCCAAGTGGCTTTGAAATGACTAAAACATAACGTGAAAACTATATAGCTATCAAAATGAAATGCATATCTATAAAACAAAAGCAACTTTTCGAGAGCAGCGATAAGTTTTTAAATGAAGAAAATGATTTTATTTTGTTAAGTTACGTCAAACAAACGTGCTCGGTGATTGGCTAAACAACTTCCTGCTTCCGGTCGTTCATTCAAGCACGTAAAGGTCAGTGAAAAAACCAACAGGCGGTGATATTACAATAACTGTAGTGGTTTCCACGGGTTTTCAGAAGATATGGAAGGCCAGGGAGCAACAGCTGACCCCCAGCTTCAACACTTTATCGAAATCGAGTCTCAGAAACAACGATTTCAGCAGCTGGTGCATCAGATGACTGAGGTTTGCTGGGTAAGATCAGCTTTTTGGCAGCAGTAAAGTCCTACACTACAGTATACACGTGTTCGTAGCTGATGGCTTCTCGCTACATTGTCTAGTACTCACATAGAAGAACAGATGCGTGCAGTCATACGATAATCCAAGTTTCCATAAAACTCAGTTGTTTCTCATTCTGGCACATGGCGTTCCTTACGCAACCTTGGAAACTTGAATGGTTTTACTCATCTGTAAGTTGTCATCTTTAAAAGTGTTTCTGTTATCTCTTCTAATCATTAAATGCTTGTTAAACAGACTTTCAAATCGCATTTCGGACAACAGTTGCTGTTAACGCTGACCTGATAAGAAGCTAGCAGTCAAACACCAGAGGAGCCCAGTGAGATGCCAGAATAAAAATATTTCAATTAACAATTTAGTTTTGCCTTTAGAATGTTTTCTCCCACCAGACAAATAACACATATATTACGCCTTTTTCCAGACGCGGTTTGTTGCGAAATGCCAGGTTTTAAATGCCGCTTTTAAATGTTTATATGCTAAGGTGTTATGTCGAAAAGTGTAACCCTACCATAAAAAGCGCTTCCGTCTCATGCGAACTTCACGTTAACTTCATCGCACTGTTTTGTGTGAAAATCACAAGTAAAATATTATTCACACATTTATTTACAGAAATTTTGCTTTTGATTTATACAGGTATTTATGGAAATATGGTGAGAATTTTGTAGCTGTAACTTTTTCCTGTCCAGAAATGGCAAAAGCCACTCATCTTGCCACCCTTGTGTTTGTATTAAGCACCTTTAGACATATATCATAATTAAATTATTTTAGATGACTGTACGGATACTTAAAACTAGGAGTTAATGTGTCACTTTTGATTCTTACCTAACTAAATACTGTACTTTGTCAATGCTCTCCCCACGGCTGGGGTACATTTTAGGGCACAACATGTAGGCTACTAGCGTTCCGGTTACAGGACGTTGTCAAGTCTAAGAAGATTTTTTTTAAATATGAGATAATTTATTATCAGGGTTGGTCATTAATGCATTACATGCAGTTAGGATTATTGAATTAGAGCACACAAAAATAATCAAATATATTACTTGGAATAAATTAGTCAATATTGCATTTTTTGGGTGGAAATATAACTAAACAGTAGTTGTATTTTTTATCAAATATAATGTTGTTTTTAAAAATGCCCCTTGTTTTAAACTATTCTATAATTGTATTAGACAACCTCGAATGGTTACCAACATTTAAAAACTTTAACAAACATCGACCAAAGTGATGCACTTCGGTGAAAATGAACATTTATGAAGCACTTAGACTTTAAGATATCGTTTTTGTTTTTTGAAAATACCACCTCGCATTTTTTTTAGCTAATCTCCTTTTTTATTTGCACTTGCACGTTTATTTATTTATTTTTACAAGAAATATCTAGGACTCACTCAACGTGTCATGACGTTGACATGTTTTCAAATTCCGTGCAGCCATGTAAATGTTAAATTTTTTTACGTGCTCTAATGAATTTCATTATTTTTGTTTTTTTTATCTGTAATCAGCTTTACTCACATTATAGCTTTATTTATATTTTATTATGCTCTACATATGAAGCCACAAAAATGTCAGATTGTTGTGTAAAAAGATTTGTGATATGTGGTGATAAGAATGGGTGCAATATTTGTAGTAGCTGTGAATACATTTGAGTATATTTATTCAAATTAAAACTCCTTAAGGATAAGAATTGTTTCCAGCAGTGAAGTACTTTACTGGAGATGAGGAATTTGATTTGTCTGACATTTCTGGCTTTTGTGTGTGGAAAAAAAAAAAAATCTAATCCAAAACTGACTAATCTGTTCTGTGTCTCTAGGACAAGTGTATGGATAAACCAGGACCAAAGTTGGATTCCAGGACTGAAACATGTTTTGTAAACTGCGTTGAGCGGTTTATTGACACCAGTCAATTCATCCTTAATAGACTGGAGCAAACCCAGAGGGGCAGAGGTGCATTCTCAGAGTCAATGTTAGAATAAAAACTGTGACCGGAAGGTTGGGGAAAACGCAGACGGCCACGGCTCTGAGAGGAGGCTGTTGATCCCAGTGCTGCCGTCAGTCCAGTACGCTGAAGAGACGTTCAACCAGCTGGAAAAGTGTTACTTTGACTCAAGTGCCTGACATTCAAACCTTGTAGGGTTTTACTAGGTCTCTGCTGGAATATGAGTGTGGTGCGTTTGCTGGCTGTCAAGATCATTAAGTTACAAATTCAAACGCTAAAACTAAGTTTGAACATTTGAGTTTTTGGAAACATGTTTTGGAAGCTTGCCAAATGTTTTAACAGCTACAAGGACTAAAACAATCTTGTTCATTAAAAGACCCTTCGTTGTCCTGACTGGAGAGACGTGCACAAAAGTTAAAGATTCTGGACTGTAAATATGAAATAAACCAAATGCCCAAATAAGCAAAACCGTGCTTTTTGAAAATGTTTTTAAGTACTCTTGTTACAAACACAGAAGTACATTCACATTTGATGTATTACTGCTTGGCACATGTTGGGGTAATTAAAACGTTTTTTGGTGCACATTGGGTATAAATACCGTATTTTTCAGACCATAGGGTGCACTTAAAATCCTTTTTTTTTTTTTTTTTCAAAAATCAACAGTGAGCTTTATGTATTGATTCTGGTTGTACTAACCTCTAACTGATTTTATGTGGTACACGGTGCTCAAAAATCTGTCAAAATGTTTTAGTTTCGCTTAATGCGCCGTATGTGTGAAAACAGACCTGTTCATTGATATTGCGCCTTATAGCCTGAAAAATACAGTACTAAAATAATACAGCAGCTCAGAGCAATCAGGGCAAATTGCTTTAAAATTACCTGCTTTTAGTTCCATTAGTCATCTTTCAAATGGAGATTTCTTTTAAAAAGTGCTAAACGGTTGTAGCTTTCAGTAACAGAAGGCACAATTTGGTTTTTAGAAAATAAATATTGAGCTTAAAAAAATAAACATCCACACAACAGTGCAACTAACGTATCCAGTGACACTAAAACTTTTTCTCACTTTGAATCATAAAAACAAAACGCAGGTGTAACGTACAGTAAGAACCAAACAATAGAGTAGAAGAAAATCCAGAGTAGCGGTGAGATAATTAGTGTGGGTGAACGTTGATCACTCAGTGCACTGTACAAGACGAACTATATTCAGATTTAATAAACTATTTTTATTTTTTTTAAGTTGTGTGACCATTAAAGCTTGAGATTTGAGGGATTGGGGTTCTTCATGGCGCTCTGACTTCGTTCACCTTCTGTATCATCCTTCCAAATCATGGCTTGGAAGAGCCACATAAGGCTGCTGGCCACAAGGCAAACCTTGATGGCCCTTTCTCAGATAAAAAGGGAGGGAATCCCAACTAAATGCAATGTCTTTGAAGGCATGGAGGAAAAAAATCCCTAAAATGATGGTGAGGAACCCGCTAATTGTCCCCACTATTCCATCTGTGCTCATACTTAACCACTCCTTGAACAAGATGGCTGAGCAGGCCATGACGGACGTGGTGAAGAAGACGTAGTAAATGGGCGTGACAATGGAGGTGTTGAATATGTCGAGAGCTTTGTTCAGGTAGCTGATCTGAACGCTGACACAAACCGCCAAGCAGATGACTAAGGACCAGAACAGAGGCTCCTTCAGAACTGCTGTCCCAGCAAACAGCTCCTTAATGCCAATTCCCAGGCCCTTGACACAAGACACAGAGAGGGAGCCAATCACGGAACAGATAAGGATGTAGACCAAGACGTTCTTCTGTCCGAACCTCGGAGCCACAGCAAAGATTAGAACCAGGCTGCTTCCCACCACGCACACAGCAAACACTATAAAACCTAATGGGAACACAACAGCGAGTTAGTACACTCGGAACAGTTTGGCTAATCACACTGCGAAGACGTGGATCCACCTGGGTCCTTCAGCTTCTCAGCCATGGCACTGAGCGAAGCGACCTCTTCTTCCTGCGGCGCGTGGACCACCATAACTGTAGAGCCCAAGATGCAAAGCAGGCAACCGACCTTCCCGTGAACATTCAGCCGCTCGTTCAGAAAGTACGAGGAGAGCACAGCACTACAAAAGAAAAGTGTGTAACTGTTATAAAAAAAATGTGTCCACTAAAATAAAAACAAATACAAAAAGTCTATTAAACACAAAAACAGACTCAAACGTTAGTACCGTGATTAGTTTCCCCGGGTTCCTTTCATTCATAGTGGAAAATTTAATATTAGTTACTTGTTTATGTAGTTTTGGCTAATCGTCGACAGCTACTTTCACCAAAATGCTTATTAACACTTAAAAACCATTACCTGACAAGAACACTCAGAGCTCCGAGGGGGGTAACCAGCGTGGCCGGGGCAAATGCATATGCAGCAAAGTTAGCAGCCTCTCCAACTCCCACTGCAACAGAGCTAATTTTGTGTCAGCTAGCCAGGCTAAAACACTGCAAAACGGATATTTTATTTCAACCCACACATGCAAATGTGCTCGTTCAGGGTATGTGACCATCAGTGATGTGAGTGGGTGCAGCACTTACAAGAACGTCATTGACAAAAATACCAAACCCACAAGAGTTTGTTTTAAACATAAACAAAGAGCGCAGTACTTCTGGGTATTAAACTATGAAAAATAAATAAATAGAAAAACTAAATAACTCACTTGAAATAAGGCCAGCCCACCACAACCATTCTTTCAGGTAAGCATAGCCCCCTTGACCTGTAAGATACACACAACATAGTTAATTTATTTGGTGCATTTATATATATATATATATATATATATATATATATATTTATATTAGGAAGTTGTCTTTTGTACTGGTATATGGGTGATCAGTGTATAAGGAATTTATTATTAATCTTAATACATTAAGTTTTGACAATTTTAGGTTTACATAAACCTTTTTTCATATCTACAGCTACTACACTGTTTTTAATATTAAAATATTTTTAAAATAAAGCAACTACTAACAATCCACTTAAATAGGATACATTTAAAATGAAAACCATTTTATTAACTTGCTGGTCTTCTATTGTAAGATCGTCAAATGTTAATACATTTTAAATCAACAAAACATGTAGAGTCTCGATTTTCTGAGATGTGGGACACGGATGCCTTGTTTTTTTTAAAAAGCACACTGAAAAGTTACTTTTTGTTTTTACACATTTCAGTTAGCACCGGTCGCCATCTTGCACTGAGGTATCTGTAAAAATTAAGTGGTTATAGATGAAAGCATCAAAATTCATCCAGTGGTTTATAACAGATTTTGCCAATAAATAGATGTTACCTCCAACAGTACGTATTGTAAATGACTCTCAGCTTCTATAACACCATATTTTAGCAATATATCTGTAGAACTGATTCAATTATAGGCATTTTTTGTGTTTTCTTAGGTCAGTTGGCCTTGGCGGCAAATTAATTCCAAAGATTATTCCCTGAAGGTTAAAAATACATTAAACATATCCAGTGATAATGAGATGTTTTGCTAACATACACAGTTGAATTCCAGTCATTCTTAGTGCTTAGAATATGTATTGGGAATCAGTCTCAGCTACTACCACACCAAATGTGGCTCAATTTTTGTAAAATTGACAGAAATATAGCCATTTTGAATATTTTAAAAGTTAGATGGTTAGTAAATAACGTTACTTAACTAATATATTCTTTTAATGACTCGTGTTTTGGACATTGCATGAAAAAGTTTCACCTGCTCGCATCGAGCCCTTGCTGGCCAGTCGCAGCAGACCTTTCTTCTTCAGGATGAAACTTGCTCCAATAAAAAGACTGGAGCTCACAGCCAGAGACAGACCGATGTAAAAGTCCAAACGGTTCACTTCCATCTAGAAAAGCAAAGTGGCGTTACATCAGATTAAAGTACATTAACTCGAATCAAAAGCTTTGAGTCACTGAAACCACAGTATCACGATAGGCGAACTGCCCGTTCACCTTTTAAAGCGACTTTTAAGAAGCTTAAAAGAGCAAACATAGGCGTTTTTTTTTACACCAACGTATTTGTTATTAGGTTTGTTACGTTGTTAGTCTCAGTTTAACGTAGGGAATTGTAAAATGTTTACCTCGGTTGTCCAGTTTACCCCATTCGTAGCTGTCAGCTTCAGTAGTGGCAGTGGGCGGGTAAAAGGGGAGCAGCTGATTGGTTGGCTTGGAAAATGGAAGAAACTGATTGGTTGCCTTGGAGAAGGGAAGCAGCTGATTGGTTGTTTGGCAAAAGCGGAGCAGCTGATTGGCTGACTGTCACCCTGCTACTTCCTAGTTAGTGTTTTCAGGAAACCGAGGGCGGAAGTTTTTTTTTTTTTTGGGCGGAAGTCATAAGCATAAACATTAATACGTATTCATGTCTTTGGTTTTAAGAGTGAAATGTCTCGTTATTTTAACTTAAAACATGTACTGCTCTCCTAACAGTTACATTTTTTTTACACGTTTTTATTTTTTATGCGTGAATAATCAATTACACCTCGTGAAACAACGGGGTAATGGACGTCTAATGCGCATAAACAACTTTATAAATGTTGAACAGAAAAAACATTGACAGAAATTATATAAGTATTTGGTCAGTTTTAATATGTCATGAAAATTACCAAAGCAGGACAGAAAAAAATCTGTTCGTTCATTCAGGCAGCTCAGTAACAAAAACAGACTATTTTGAGGTTACTTACTTTAAATGTATGAAATATGTAACTAAGTTTCAGAAGATAGTGCTAAGCAAAATTAAAAAAATGTATATCTAGTCTGACATACAAATAACACTAGTAACTGTATCCATTTTGTATCATTTTTAATAAAGTTTTCTGATAAAAAAAAATACAACCTGAATCCTCGCAATCGAGAAGGGGGTCTCTGCAGACCAAAAGTGGGCGTTTCTGGCGAATAGGCGTTTATGGACAGCGAACACTGATTGGCTAACAATATTTAATAGGCGTTTGTCGGCGGCGAACACTGATTGGCTGTGGGTAACCCTCAAAGTCACGAGTCATTGATGAGGTAACGTTTCTTTGCGATGTTTGACAAAGAAATATGGTTTATTGTACTTATAAAGTATGTTATGTTTTCACTTTTGCATTTTATTGAAGTACGTTTATTGTAGGTCACGATAGTTTCGACCGTTCTCTCGTTGTTGTCGTAACGCACTGAGATAAAGTGAGCCTCCACTCGGCTCCTTTTCAAAATAAAAGCTGAAAATAAAAGTTCTTAATACTTGAAAAATAAATATTTAAAAGCTGTGTATAACTGAAAAATATGAAAAACAAATAAATAAAAGTTGTTATTAGCTGAAAAATAAATAAATAAAAGCTGTTAATTATATCTATGTCTTTCTGCCATGTCAGGGACCACTCTCACTTCAGACTGACTCTAGAAGACCCCAAGATGTTGCCCAACAATGTTGACCAACATCTGATGTTGACTTTCATTACTCAATAATGAGTAATAACTTATTCAATAAAAAGTCTGTAATTTGTCAATAATAGTCAATAATTCATTCAAGAATAGATTATGGGTGTTTGGTATGGCTCAGTGGCTAAAATGGGTTGGATGTTAGAGAAATTACTTAATTTTCAATTACCTGAATGCACAAATTCCTTCATTTATAGTTAAACTTTAGGAAATCAACTTTTTTTTTCTTGTGAAAAAAATATCAAAATTAACTTTAAAATCCAATCCAGGATTAAGTAACAACTAGCAACACCCTAACTGTACTATGTTCTGTGTTTCCAACAGATGCTACGATGACTTCTAAAAATGGATGTCCCAATAAACACAATAAAAAAATTCAATGATGCATCAAATGTTGTCTGAGTATGTTTTAAGGTAATAACAAATGTGAAATCTGGAAAACAAAGAGAATTCCTGAATCTGTCTTGTGTGCTTTGATGTGTACATAAGTTTATTGGAGGTCCTGAAACAACTTTTCTGAGAACACAAAAGATTTTTATTTTACCTTTGGCCAAGATGTCAGTTTGAAATCAGGCTGCTTACTGCAAAACCAAGAGGGTTTTTAATAAAGACGGTCTTCATTTGTATTGTTTTGTCCACTATAAGTTAAATGTAATTTCTAAAATATGGATAAATCTGATCTCATCGTGCAGCATGAGCAACTGGGTATAGGTGTGAGGACCAAAAGTCTGGTTATGTACTGACTCCTAAATGTGCTGGTTTTCTACTGAAACATGGAGTAGGGTTGACCTTTAAAATGTGAGACAGCTGAGGAAGTTAACCAGTAAACAGAATACCTGCTCCAGGTGCAGAAATCTTACAGAAACTGACAATCACTCATCTGCAGTGACTGCAGGTTGAACAAGAAAATGTGAAGTTAAAGGAAACCTCCTTTGTCCCAAGGCCAGTTTAAGTATCATTAATATTTTTCTTTCTTTATGAATCGATTGTAACTTTGTTCACATTTTTCAACAACCAAAATGGAATTTGTTTTTTAATGTTATGGCTAGGTATTAAAAAAAACAACATTTAGCTCTCCCCACTACCCAGTTATGTTGCTCTTATTTTGAAATGTAACCGGAAGTTCTGTTAAGAGAGTCGAAAAAAGAAGTTATGGAGACGCCGCGGTAGTATACTGGAGCGATGTCGAACCGAGACGCCGCTAATGTCGAACCGGTTAACACCATAGACATAATATGCCTGTGGTTAACACAATCTGCCAATAACGCCTTGTTTTTAGACATCATGTGTCTGTGGTTACGGCATTTTATCGTTCAGCCTTTTATTTTCTATCGTTCAGCCTTTTTTTTTCTATCGTCCAATCAGATGTGGCCGTCCAGACACGCCCATTTTTCTATCGTCCAATCAGATCTGGCCGGCCAGAAACGCCCATTTTCCTATCGTCCAATCAGATATGACCGCCCAGATACGCCCACTTTCCTATAGTCCAATCAGATATGAGCGCCCAGATACGCCTTCCGAATTTGCCTGCAGAGACCCCTTTTTGTCGCAATCTGATTGGTTGTTGGTGACCAATGTGTTTCCAGCTTTCTGATTGGATAAATCCATTTCGCTCACATGAACCGGAAGTAATGCTAACATCGAGGGTCAACACATTGGCATTGCATTTTCGTAAAGAGCTGGATAGTTTCCGATTCAGTCAGTTTGACCTTGTTACAGTTTATATTGAGACTGTTACCTTTTTCACATTCGCTGTTGCGTACCTTAAGGCGGCTTTGGAGTAAACCTTTCTCTGTTGGTGTCGCTTACCACCAAACGATGAAGATCCCGTTTTGTTTTATCACCAGAAGAAGTAGGACTTTTTATGGACTTCAGCAAAAACAGTTTTTATCAAACTTTCCAAGACTACAGAACACTGCTTTGAGATGCAGCAGCACCCAGCTTTGCAAAGATGACAAAAGTTTCTACATAACAACTCCCATCTTTTATGTCAATGCTTCTCCTCACCTGGGACACCTGTATTCAGCTGTGATAGCTGACTGTTTGCACAGGTACAAACGTCTTCAGGGTTGTAGCACAAGGTTTGCCACAGGTAAGTTTATCATCCAATAAATATGAACCTATATGTTTGGGTTTTCTTGTCTGTTTCAGTGTGAAATTCAAAGTTTATCTCTTTTTTTTTTTCAAATCTACTATATTTTATTTCCCATTAATGCTGCTCTGAACTAAACAAATATCAATGTTAAAAAAACAAAGTATCTACAACCTCACATTGTGTATAATGCAGTAAAACCGAATGCACAGAGTTTGTTCACAGTGGAACATTGTAAACATCAAATGTTAAAACTAATATACAGTATTGTACCTTTTTTAAACCAAGTAATGTTGAATTTTATGGCAGCAATACAACTAAAAAATGTTGGAACCAAGTTATGTTTACCACCGCGAAACATCTTTCTTCGTTTAACATCAGCCTGGACCTTATTTTGAGTTTTTGAGGTGGCATGTTGTCCCATTTACAGTGCCTTGCGAAAGTATTCGGTCCCCTTGAACTTTTCAACCTTTTGCTACATTTCAGGCTTCAAACATAAAGATATGATTATTATTATTATTATTTTTTTGTGAATAATCAACAACAAGTGGGACACAATCGTGAAGTAGAATGAAATTTATTGGATGTGTCAAACTTTTTTAACAAATAAAAAACTGAAAAGTGAGGCGTGCAATATTATTCGGCCCCCTTGCGTTAATACTTTGCAGCGCCGTCTTTTGCTGCAGTTCCAGCTGCAAGTCTCTTGGGGTTTGTCTCCATCAGTTTTGAACATGGAGACACTGAAATTTTTTCCCATTCTTCTTTGCAAAACAGCTCGAGCTCAGTGAGGTTGGATGGAGAGCGTTTGTGAACAACAGTCTTCAGCTCTTTCCACAGATTCTCGATTGGATTCAGGTCTGGACTTTGACTTGGCCATTCCAACACCTGGATATGTTTATTTGTGAACCATTCCATTGTAGATTTGGCTTTATGTTTTGGATCATTGTCTTGTTGGAAGATAAATCTCCGTCTCAGGTCTCTTGCAGACTCAAACAGGTTTTCTTCCAGAATGGTCCTGTATTTGGTACCATCCATCCTCCCATCAATTATGACCATCTTCCCTGTCCCTGCTGATGAAAAGCAGGCCCAAACCATGATGCTGCCACCAACATGTTTGACAGTGGGAATGGTGTGTTCAGGGTGATGAGCTGTGTTGCTTTTACTCCAAACATATAATTTTGCATTGTGGCCAAACAGTTTTGATTTTGGTTTCATGTGACCAGAGCACCTTCTTCCACATGTTTGGTGTGTCTCCCAGGTGCTTGTGGGAAACTTTAAACAACACTTTTTATGGATATCTTTGAGAAATGGCTTTCTTCTTGCCACTCTTCCATAAAGGCCAGGTTTGTGCAGTGTACGACTGATTGTTGTCCTATGGACAGACTCTCCCACCTCAGCTGTAGATCTCTGCAGTTCATCCAGAGTGATCATGGGCCTCTTGGCTGCATCTCTGATCAGTCTTCTACTTGTTCAAGATGAAAGTTCAGAGGGACGGCCGGGTCTTGGTAAATTTGCAGTGGTCTGATACTCCTTCCATTTCAATATGATTGCTTGCACAGTGCTCCTTGGGATGTTTAAAGCTTGGGAAATCTTTTTGTATCCAAATCTGGCTTTAAGCTTCTCCACAACAATATCTCGGACCTGCCTGGTGTGTTCCTTGGTCTTCATGATGCTCTCTGCGCTCTGAACAGAACCCTGAGACTATCACAGAGCAGGTGCATTTATACAGAGACTTGATTACACACAGGTGGATTCTATTTATCATCATCAGTCATTTGGGACAACATTGGATCGTTCATAGATCCTCTCTGAACTTCTGGAGTGAGTTTGCTGCACTGAAAGTAAAGGGGCCGAATAATATTGCACGCCCCACTTTTCAGTTTTTTATTTGTTAAAAAAGTTTGACACATCCAATAAATTTCATTCCACTTCATGATTGTGTCCCACTTGTTGATTCTTCACACAAAAATAAAATTTTATATCTTTATGTTTGAAGCCTGAAATGTGGCAAAAGGTTGAAAAGTTCAAGGGAGCCGAATACTTTCGCAAGGCACTGTAGCACGTTCCAACATCTGGATTAAAGTTGTAGGATTTTTGACTTTTTTTTATTACAATAAAACTGACATTGTGCAATATTTTACATTTTTCACCTAGTAGATTTTTTAGTTAATTTACTTTGCAAACTTATTATTTAATCTTTTTAAATTCCAGGAACAGATGAACACGGTTTAAAAATCCAGCAAGCAGCTGAGGCTGCAGGAAAAGATCCGCTGGCGTTCTGCACTGAGATCTCAGAGCGGTTCAAACATCTCTTCAGCAGCTGCAACTTATCCTTTACGGACTACATTAGAACCACAGAGCAGAGACATCGCCAGGCCGTGGAGCATTTCTGGTCAGTGCTCTGGAACAAAGGACTCATCTACAAGGGGGTTTACGAAGGCTGGTACTCCACCCAGGATGAAAGCTTCCTTGTGCCGTCACAGGTTGGCGAAGCTCTGGACTCAACAGGGAAAGAGATCAAAGTGTCACTGGAGAGTGGACACAAGGTAATTGAGGATATTCTATCATATTCATTTTGTACAGAAATGTAGGTTTACCTGTCACTAGGGGTAATACACCTATCATAACATTTTTGACCATATCCTTGAGTTATCCTATGTCCCTTTAAATCAACACCGTAACGCTGCTCTGAAAGGTTTATTGTAGTGGAGCTTTAGCAGATACTTTCTGCCCTGTGGTTAAGTTGCTTCCTTAAGTACCAATCAAATTAGTATCTGGATTGTTTCTGTACTCTTGTATTTTTTTAATTCATTACATTTTTCAGGACACACTGCTACACTACTGCATTTTTAAGAGAAGCATGTTTAAGGTGGAAATAGTCAACAATTTGAGCACCACTGTAAAAACAAAAAAAAGTACAGTATTTTCTGCCGTACACGTCGCTCCTCCCTATAAGTAGCATCAGTCCAAATATGTCTAAAAAAGTGGAAAAATCCATAAATATGTTGCTTCGTCTTATAAGTCGCATCTATTAAGCGTCATTAATAGCTGGTGAAGATTCTCAGTCATCCAGGACATGGTAAATTAAAAAAAGTTCAAGACAAAAACAATAAAGTATTAAGTATAATAAATAAAATCCAGTTATTTTTGTCTTGAACTTTTTTGAATTTGTCATTATAGCCACATTTACCTATTACATGATACAACAGCATGCCTTACTTCTGCTACTACTCTTCTGCCATCTAGTGGCTAAAAATGGTACTGTTCAAATTTTTTTCAGTCAAATGAATGAAAACGTACGACGGAGCTTTAGGGCCACGCTAAAAAATAAAAATAAAATTACATTGCCACGCTAAGAAAAAACTAATTAAAATCTATAAAATTACGACAATAAAGTCGTACGAGCCTTTTTTTTTTTTTTACTCGTTAATTTTTTTTCCCCCCCAAGAGTCGGATCCATGACGCGACTTGTCAGTCAATCCAGTAGGCGTGTCAGCAAATGACCAATCCGAAACTAAATGCTCCTTACCTGCAGACAGCTGGAACGTAACACCGTACTGTAAACAGGTTCATAGTCCTGATATTAATAATCTGATGCTGATGTGCGAACAGATTATACAGTTTCTCTCACTGAATGCCGTTTTCAAACAAAAGCAAAAACGAGTCATGACGTAATGACGTCACATATATGCATCCCAGAAGCAGCATACAAAAACACAACAGCAGGTGGCAGTATTGGAACACGTTTTGAGTAAGAGCGTCAATAACAATAAAGTTTAACAAACATTCATTTTACCACAGTTAAATGCGTAAATTCTGCTTCGTGTCAGAGTTCGGATAATATTACGACTCATTTAGTTTTGAACTGGTCATTTGTTGACACGGGATTGATTGATGGGTCGTGTCATGGAGCCGACTCGTGAAAAAAAAATTAACGACAGTTAAAAAAAAAAAAATCTTGTACGACTTTATTCTCGTAATTTTATGGCTTTTAATTATTTTTATTTTTTTTTATCGTGGCCCTAAAGTTTCATCGTGATCAATTTTTTTTTCAGTCAGAATGAATGAAGAGTCATATTTCAGCCAAAAATTGGTTTATAAATGTGGGGAAAAAAATCCATAAATAGGTCGCTTCAGCCTGTAATGCAAAAAAAATCACGACTTATAGGCTGAAAAATACGGTAGCTACATTTTTGAAAATGGTAGCTGTTTAATACAAAGTAACACTGCTGTGTAAAAATAAGAAGTTGTAGTTCTTGGTGGGTTGGGTTTGAGCTGTTTTGGTCCATTAACTGGTTTTTCTAATCTCAAATTAATTGCAGGTGGAGTGGATGAAGGAGGAAAACTACATGTTCCGACTGTCTGCGTTTCAGTCTCAGCTGATCGACTGGTTACAAGAAAATCCTGGAGTTATACAGCCCAAGCGCTTCCACCAGGCTGTGCTGCTGTGGCTGCAGGAAGATCTTCCAGACCTCTCGGTGTCCCGTCAGAGAAATCGCCTGCAGTGGGGCATCCCAGTCCCAGGAGACGCTGAACAAACCATCTATGTGTGGCTGGATGCCCTTGTGAATTATCTCACAGTCGTTGGCTATCCAGATAAACACGACCAATGGTGGCACAAGGCTCATCATGTTATCGGAAAGGACATTTTGAAATTCCACTCCATCTACTGGCCTGCTTTCCTTCTAGGAGCAGGACTCCCGTTGCCACAGGCCATATATGTGCACTCACACTGGACAGTGGGAGGAAAGAAGATGTCTAAAAGTCTGGGTAATGTGGTCGATCCACTGGAACACTCGCAGAAATTTACAAATGATGGTATGAGGTACTTTCTGCTGCGTCAAGGAGTCCCAGACTCGGACTGCGATTACACACAGGACAAAGTTATGAAGCTGCTCAATGCAGAGCTGGCTGACACTTTAGGTGGTTTACTGAACCGCTGCACAGCTCCAGCTCTGAACCCAGCTCAGGTTTACCCCCCTTTCTGTCCTCAGTCCTTCTGCAGTGAACAAGGAGGCAGAGCTGTGACTGATGACTATCACATGTTGGCCGCGGTAAAACATCTGCCCGCTGTGGTTGAGCTGCACTACCAGAGCATGCACGTATATAAAGCACTGGAGGCGATCAGTGCCTGCGCGAGACAGACCAATGGGTTCGTTCAGCGCCACACACCTTGGAAGCTGGATAGGGGGGACAGTAAAGACCAGCGCTGGCTAGACACCATCATCCACGTGTCTCTTGAATGTCTGAGAATATATGGGACTCTCCTCCAGCCAGTGGTGCCAGAGATTTCTAACAAACTGCTCAACAGACTCGGGGTGCAACCAGATGAGAGGAACTGGGAAGCTTTGAACTTTCTTCCAAAGTATCAAGGCAGGGACTGCCCTTTTGAAGGGAGACCACTCGGACCCGACTCTGGAGTGCTTTTTAGCCGCTTGGAAACTCAAAGTGACGATAAACAAAAGCCAAAAAACCCCAAGAACTCTGCAAATCTGAAATAACTTTTTATCCGTCATTTCCCCCCGACTCTTTGACCCTAAATAGTCATGTCAATTGGAAATGTTCCAAAAAGGAAAATATTCCGTTTCATCAAAATATTTCAGTGCAGTAGGATGTAGATCCTAGTTTTAATTTGTCATATCTTCTCTAATCTACAACGGTATCAGCTCTTGCTTCAATTGCTCATCAGTCTCAGCACAAGTCTAATGAGTTGCATGAAAATTTCTGTGAAACTGTCCATTTAAATACGTACCTGTACAAAATTAGATGTTATATTGGAAAAAAAAATCTGCCAAAATGCTCTTTGGTTAATTGGGTTTCCGTAAATAGTCACTTCAGGTCTTGTTTTATTTTCATTTGGTTGAGTCAAGCTCAGATTCTTTTGACGGTAATAAATATTGCCATCCTAATCGATCAAAAATTAAAGGTCTTAATCTTTTGTTATTACAAACTCATGACCGTGCATCTCCCAGAGCTGAAGACGAGCTTTACTGCTTTCATTCACAGGCAGTCAATGCAAGACATAAAAACTCAAATGATTTCTTTTTTTAATGACAAATACACAAAACTGAGAAAAAAATGTACAAATTGAAGGAAAAAAAAAAAAAAGAAGCATTCTCATAATTTGTCGTAGTTTTTTTGTTTTAAACATTTTCCAAGATTAACAACTACATGTTTACTTCAAATCAGGTCCTCTCTCCTACCAATCCAAAATTACACATCTGAAGTCTTAGTATTTTTTTAAATTAATTATGGTCAAAGTTTGATTAATTATGATCACGGTTTGGTGGTCCTTTATGTCTTCCACCTTCAACATGATCTACAGATGGTGGCCGTCCCACATGACTATAAACAAACACAATCAATAATAAGGTGCAGCGCCCTGTCCTGGCTGTGAATCTGAAAAAGAAAGAAAGGATTGTTTAAAAAGTTTGGCCCTTGAAAACGATGACAATTTATTCTAAATGAAAGGAACTGGGTTCTGACTTACTTGAAAGTTGTTGTTGCAGCTGCCTGACCAGAGCTGCAGTTTGTTGCTGCTGCTGAGTCTGCTGCATTCCCTGTCGGGGAAACTGAAAACAAAGATGTGCACAGTATTACACACTACTCAGTGGTGCTGATCTATTCATGACGCACAGCAGAGACGTTTAAGATTCATTCCCAAAATTTTATGTTATGACTAGGGGATGCACGATATTATCGGCATGGTATCAGTATCGGCCATTATTAGCGATAAAGTTAAATATCGGCCATTCCATCAAAATAACTCACCGATATAAAAGGCGCTGTTTTTGTATGACTGAGTGTTGTCATTGTTTTAGAGAGTAAATACCATGAATAAATTTGACATAAAACATTAATTCAATCTTTATTTACACAGATAAATCACATTGAGCCTCGAAGACTAATTTACAAGTGAGACCTGTTTAGACAGATAAAAGTAGTGAAAGTGACACGTATAGGGTTTGAAGGCAAAAAAAATCCTATCAAACTCTCACTTCCTGGCCGAGGAGAGATGGCTGATATTGGGGAAAAAAAAAAAAAAAAAAACGCACATAGAGACGCAGACATTCTGCAGGGGAAGGGAGACGACATCATAATCCAAGTTGAAGTGTTACATCATTTTCAGCCCCCCTTTTGGCATCTGCATTTGGTATCAGGCCAAATTGACAAATAATTTAGTATTTTAATTCCACAGCAGAGAAAGCTATGTAGTCTCTGAAAGTAGGTGTAGGGGGAAAAAATATCGGTATTGGTATCGTTTATCAGCCAAATAAGTTTTAACATATTGGCATATCAGATATCAGCCAAAAAAACTATATTGTGCATCCCTAGTTATGACCATTTGAAACAAAACACAAAAGATCTAAAATATATTTGAAGCAATCAACACAAGTGAAAAAACTACAGTTAAAAAAAAAATAAAAAAATCTGTAATTGTATTCAGGGTTGTAATCCAGGCTGTTGAAAACTTCAGTACATCTACCAAAGACCACCTTCTGGATTAGACTCACCATGGGTTGCTGGGGGGGCAGTGGCTGCATGTTCAGGCCCTGGTTCTGCGTTTGTCCTGGAGGGGGAACAGCTGAAACCTGCTGCTGCTGCTGCTGTGGAACCTGCTGTTGAGGAGCAACCTGTTGCTGCTGAACTTGTTGCTGCTGCTGCTGCTGTTGTTGCTGTTGTTGTTGCTGTTGTTGCTGAACTTGAGCCTGTTGCTGCTGTGAGAAGACAAAGCAATTATCAGGCGGGAAAGATCAGTTGCCAAAAATCTTGAGCTTCCCACCCAGATGCCCTCCTCTACAGACTAAACCTTAATCTTACATGAAATTTAACTTTCCTGTCAAACTCTTTGACACAAACTTTGTAAGAATTAATTTAGCCTTCATAAATCTCATTAACATGAGATCTGAGAGTAGGTGAAGTGGATACTTATATATATATATATATATATATTTAAATTTTTATTTTTTTATTTTTTGATAATCAAAATCTTGTCCCGCTGCTTTCACTGGAATTATTTTGCTTCATTAACTTCTCATCCTTGCTTTGAAAGAAAAGTTCAAATCATTGAAAGCAGGTATGTGTGTATCAAAGACTACTTTACCTTTTAGATGAACTCTTAAACAATAATTTAAATTAAACACTCGGGTACACGAATAATCAATCACATACTCTGAGTGCTGCTTGTCTGAGGTAAAATTGCTGTTGCTGTGCTGCTTGTTGCTGTTGCTGCTGTTGCTGTTGTTGATCTGCCAGCATCTGATTGGGCCTCAAGCCTGGATAGACCCCCTGAGGTCCCATGTGGCTGAGTCCATGAATGACAGGATTCTGATTGAGGGGCTGGTGGGTAAACCTAAAGTTTACAAGACAAAAGAAGGAAGCAGGTATCAAATAAAATGTCCTGGTATAAAATAGTAAAGTGCCTTTAAGAGATAAATCGGCTTGAAGTGCAACACTGACCTTTGTGTGTTTGGCATGTTGTGTGCATAGCCTGGAGCCTGCTGGTGGACGTAACCACTGGGCCTCTGGTGCATTGGCCTCAGAGGATCCATCACAGCTGGGTTGGGTCCAGGATGGGTGCTCGGTATATTTGTGTTTCCATAGAGGGAGGGAGCTATACTACCACCTTGGGAAGGATGCGGCTGCATGGTTGCATACGTGGTATAGCCCTGAGAACAGAGTTGATCATTAAAACAAAGACAGAGAAGGAGATACAGCTTTATTTCTCAGGTCTAAATCCAGACCAGGCATGAAAGACAAATTACTTGGAAAATAATCTGGTAAATATTTCCAATGAATAATTTAAAGAAGCATATAAACAAAATATACAAACCTGGTGTGCTGGCATTGCAGAGTATGTTTGGTTGTGTGGCATTTGTCTGATCTGCCCCTGATTCTGCTAAAAGAAATGATAAACTAAATTAGATTTCTGTAAAAGTGGTTCTAAAAAGACTGAATTTAGGAAGACTGAAGCACCATTGTAATGCCTGACCAACTCACCAGTCTGAAACTTAACAGCTGCCGCGGGTTCTGGCCCTGAGGCATGGTGGGCTTGTAGGGCGTTTGGTACGGCTTGTCATGCACTGCCAAACCACCCATGATGGGTGGATAGTTGGGTCGAAGGGACATTTTGTTCATCTGAGTGATACGGCCAGGTCTGCACGGAGGCTCTAAACCTGGACCACCTGTTGGAAAACCAAATAATCATTGAAACGTTGCAGCGTCAGTCAGGGAGATTCTTACAAAGCACCACAACAGCATAAATTATGATTAGAGCTGCACAATATTAGAAAAACCCGTGATATGCAAAATTATTTAAATCTAAGATGATATCCATTGCAATACACCTATATTTTCCTCAATCCTCATCATCTAAACCAGGCGTGGGGAAAAAAGACCAGAGATTCTGTTACGACTAAATTTATCATTTAAGCATGCAGACTAAATGCAGAGTACTTCAAATATGATGGACTATGATTTCTTGTAGTCCAAGCAGTTTTTTGCAATACTGACATTGTGCTCAGTGATATTCAATTCAAAATACTTTAATTTCCCAAAGGGAAATTAAATGTTGTAGCTCATCGTCCTGGTTTCATTAAGAGTTGTTATAGATGCTGATAGCTGTGGGCAGGAAGGATCTGCAGCAGTCTGTCCCGCATCGGATCTGAAGAAACTGGCTGCAGATGTCGATCCGTCCACCCAGACCCAGCGGACCTCTTGGTCCTCCTGGGCAGCAGGACCACCTTGGGCAGAACTCCTCCCTGAGCGATGATCACTCCTCTCAGCAGCTTGTTGAGCTCCTCATCATTGCAGACAGTCAGCTGCAGGTGTCGGGGGATGATCCTGGTCTTGTTTTAAATCGGTTCCTGTTTTAAATGTGCTATACAAATAAATAAGACTTGACTTATTGTCATGAGCCACGTTTCCTGCCACTTCCAGGTTCTCTGCAGTCAGTCACTCGAGAATCTCCGCCAGGTAGACTGAGATGCATCCACGGCGTCTCCTTTACAACTCATTTGGGGTTGTATTTGAGGTAACATTTGAGCTTGGAGATGTTAAATCAGCTTCTCCTGGTTGTAAAAACCATCTTGTTGTCATGGTTACGTTTCATAACAAATGTCCAAAAGTAAAATGGTTTTCAGCTGCACAGCATCCAATACCAGAGGAAGTAATCATCCAAAAAAAGCCAATCAAGAGGAAATAAAGTTTTCAAATGCAATATCCCAGAATGAAAGTAACAGCTAATCCTACATGCAGCCACCTTGAGCGGCGCAATTCTAGAACGCTGATATGATGATTACTTTGCGATATATTGAGCAACCATAATTTCGATGACTGTATTCTGTGGGCTGACCTGGAGGCAGGGGTTGGTTCTGAGTGTGCATGACCATGGACTGTGCGTTGTAGGGGGGTGCCCTGCCACCATATGGGTTCCCCAGTTCAGGCCCCATATTAATCGAGTGGGTGACACGAGGGTCCTATCAAAGAAAAGTCAATTATCTAAGACATCTAAAAATCATTGTAAAAATATAAAACTGCATCATCATTTAAACTAAACCTTTAAAGAGAACCAACCTCTGTGTTGGTAGATGAAGATTTCTTTTTCCTTGGAATACTTTCCTTTTTCTTTTTCTTGTTCGACTCGGAAGGCTTCTTCTCCACTTTCACTGCCTCCGTTATGATGTTCTCTGGCTCCTTGGGGAGAGGGGTCAGAGGCTCATCTTCCTCAGGGGGCAGGGGGAGAGGCTCCAGGTAATAGCTGCGAGGTTTGGGCTTCAGGTGGGTGTGGTAAAGCAGGAAACGCTGCTGCTCCTCAAACTTGGCAATCTTTCGATCTACGCGCACGGTTCCAAACCAGCCCCAGGAAAGGGGCGCAGAGTGTTTTAGACCCTCGAAGACGTCCCACGGAGAAATCTTTTGTTTGGTTGACACTTGAAGACCCTGATGGAGCATAGGAAGAACTGTTGACCAAACCTCTTTAGTACTTTTAAGCATAACAAAAACATTTCCAATCCCCACAACTGACACAGAGGAAAGGGTTTACCTCCTTCTCAAAGCCTGCAATCTTGTTACCCTTTGTATCTATTAGTGAGCCTTGAGGTTCGCAGGTAATGACGTCACGTGTTTGCTTGGGCAGCGGCAGCAGCTGGCGAACCTTTTCCAAACTTTCAGACTGCCGATCTCCGAGCTCTTTCTGTATAAATAAATAACAAACAGGAAAATTATTTTAAAGTTGTAAAAAAAAGAAAAACTAGACCATTGTTTCCTGCCTTGTTTCTACAAGTAGATATTCAATACTGTTGTTTTAGCTGCCTTTGAACAGAAAATACTTTAATTCTTATTTATATGCCAAGATTACATTTGTTATATAATTGCAACAAGTCTTTTGCACTCTAGGTGATGGTGCAACTTCTTCACTTCAGTCTAATCAGTTCTTTTTATCTGTGAAATATTGAGCAGGAACATAAGGTTTTCCTGTTTTGGCATGCAGATTATATCAGTGAAGTTAAAACATTTGATCATACGCGACATTTTTGAAGCCCATGGAAACGCTCTATAAACCCAACTATATGACTCCAACTTTAAAACTAGAGAAATTGCATTTCCTGTAAAAATGCAGTGTGAATGCTTATTGCAGAAGATCTTGCTGAAAAACAGCTGAAATTAGCTAAAAACATGCTGAAATGTGGCTGAAATGAAAGAACAAACCTAAATTAGCAGAAGAAAGTAGAACAAATACATATTTGCTGAATTAGGTTTGAATAAGCAGAAATGAACACAAAAAAAGGAAATTAGCTTTAAAAAAAATGCTGAAATTGGCAACAAACAAAAAAAAAAAACAGCTGAAAAGGCAGTAAGAAGCTTAACGTCCTAGAAGGAAGTGGAAAGAGCTAAAATAAGCTAAAAATGTAAAATTAACTGAAAAAGCTAAAACTTGCATAGAACAGCTAAATAGCCGAAATAGCAGATATAAAACTAGCAGAAACAAATCTGAAAGGAGCACAACAAACTGAAATTGATGTAAAGTTAATTAGGCTGAAAGTAGCAGAAATTACCACAAAATACTTGCATGAAGCTGAAAACAGCTAAAATTAGGTGAATTTTTTCTAAAAAGGTAGCTGCAAATGTAGAACAAGCTTAAATTAGCATAAGAAAACAGAAAGAACATGTTTGCTGAAAGGAGCAGAAAGGAGCACAAAAAAGTGGAAATCTGAAAAAAGCTGAGAAAAATCCTGCTGAAAAGTAGCTAAAAAAGGCAGAAAGAAGCTTAAATTACCATGAGGATGTGGAGAGAGCACATTTTTGAAGAATTTAGGCTGAAAAAAGTTGAAACCGGTGCCAAAATTCAGAATTAGTTGAAAAAGCTTAAATTAGCATAAAAACAGCTAAATAGTAGCCTAAATAGTAGAAAAGCTGAAACTTGCAGATATAAGCTGAAAGGAGCATAACAAGCTGAAATTGGCAGAAAGATGTTAGAAGAAGCCCAAAACATTATAGTTAGCAGAAATAATCTGAAAGGAGCACAGAGCAGCTGAAAGCAGCTGAAAAACAGTTTTAATTTGCGCAAGGAAGCTGAAAGAAACTGAACCGGAACAAATTGTGAAAAAGTTATAAACAGATCTAAAGATTTGAAGGATTAAAATGAGCTCAATTAATTTTCTATGAGAAAAAAATGGCAGAAAAGGCTAAATATTTCAAAAAGCTAAAGTTGCACCAATACCAAAAGTCGTAGCAGGATTGTCCTGTGATGTGAATGTTTTGATTTATGATTTGTTGAAATAGCTTGAAAACTGCGGGACAGGAATCGTGTCGAAAAACGTACAGAAGAAAACTGAATCACAGTTGTGCGAATGCTTCATAAACATTCACACAATTATGTGGCTGAGATGGTGTAGGGACCCGAAGGTCCTGGGTTCAATCCCCGGTCATTGCACATCTCGTGGGCTCTCTGAGCAATCCCGAATTGCTCCCTGGGCAGCTTACATAGCTGCCCACTGCTCCACCTGGGTGTATCCCAGGTGCGATGAGTTAAACGCAGAGAGCCAATTTTGTCTTTGTATGAGAACATACAATGATGACGACACTTTATTTTATTACTTTATTATTATTATTATTATTATACTATTAGTGACATATCTAGACTTGTGTGTTGCTCTTACCCTGAGCTTCTTGACCAGGTTCATGTAAGCTCTCTTATTCTCCTCCATGCTGCCCTGAGAAATACTGGACATGTCAGCAGCCAGTGTGCCATTTATTAGCACACTTAGCATGTCCAGCACAGTTGTGAAGAGCTCACTGTTGAACAGAGAGTAAAAATGACACAAATCAGAGTGTACTGCAAATATGAAACTTGTGGCAATAATAAAAATGAATCCAGTGCACATACAATCACATGACGCCCAGACTCAGATGAATTAGTTGGTGCCCTTCGACAATAATAATACATTTTAAAAACATCAACTGATGTGACAGGAATAAAAAAGCTCCAGTTTGGTCTCAGTCCCAGAAACTTTGGTTATTGTCAACATGCAGTTTGGTGAATTCCAGTCGGATTTTTTAAATTTTCTGCAACTAGTGGAGCCTCTATGACATACTAAAGACATGCAGATATAAACTGGACATTAGCATGAATTTGAATTACTTTTCTAGATAAATTAATCATTGTATCAATGAGCTGTAAGGGTAACAACAAATTTATTTGTCTTTGGGGGTTCTCTGTAATCAACACTCACTTATTGGACTGCATGTCTACTGTTCCACTGCTGATGATGTCGAGGAGCAGAACCGCCCACTCAGTGGTTTGCTGGGTGCTCCGCTGCACCGTGTCAAACATGCCACCGACCTTATTGGGAAAATATATATTTTTTTACTTCAAGAGGTCAGATTCAGACAAAAGCCGTGTTAATTCTGTGTGACAAGCTACAGTTACTCATCGCTTGAGATCCTGCACTGTACATCCAGCTATGCTGCTGAAAGCTGCTTACAAGATTCAGCCGTAGTTTCAGGGCCTCGTGCATCATTTGCTTTGCCTTGCAGTCATCCTGGTACTGATCTTCTCTCCAGTTGGTGACGATCTGCTGCACTTGGCTATAAAGGGAGGTGAGAAGGCCCTCCCTCTGTTCATCCTGTCCCTTTAAGCAGGTCAGCACCAAAGACAGGAACGGCTGCTGGCTCAGCAGAGACATGCTGCAGCAGAAAAAAAACACAATGATCAACTGAAACTACTAGAATCAAAATCTTTAATCGGTGTTAGTATCAAAGAAATGTAAGTTGTCACCTTTTTTGTTTCTGCCGGTCCCTTTCTTTGCGAGAGGAAGAGCCGAGGTGCTGTCCTTTCTCCAGTTCCTCCCCAGCTGCCTTCAGCACATGGCCCTGAACTGACGTGGGCAGTTTGGCTATCAGTGGAGCCACCAGCCAAACACCTGATCGCTCTGAAGCGCTGGACATCAGAAAAGAAAGACTTTAGTATCACCGAACTCAGAGTTACAAGAAGTGTAAAACATTACCGACTTGATTTTAGAAGACACAGAATTTTAGAAAATTTTATAAGAGGTGTAAACCAAATATTTTAACAAACACACCTTAAAATAGGTTTAATCTTGCTTGTAGTGCTGTTTGTATTGGATGCAGAGCCCCCTTGGACCGCTGCTCCATTCCCTGAGGGGTTACTGGAGTTCATCTCTGCTGATTTTTGAAAAACCTCTATAGTGGCCTTAGCAATGTTCTCCAAGAGAGAGTAGAGCTCCTAAAATAAAAAAAAAATAATTTTATTTTTTTTGAAAAAAGAATGAATTAAATGAACGATACTTTGGCAACAGCAACCAGTAAGATTTACATTGTTTGTGCTCTGTTTGATCATCAGCTGCAGCTCCAGAGACGACTGTCTCATCGTCCATTGGTCCATATTCTACAACAAGGACAAAGTAAAGGTTAATGATTTATTTTAAGCAATCCAAATTTGCACAACATTTCCAGTTATGGATGCTCATAACATAAAACAATGAATTTATCCAGGAGGGGGCAGTAAAACTCCACTGGACCATTTAAAAACAACAAGCAGCAGATTAAAGGAATTATTTACCAAAGCCAAAATGAACAGATCATTCCTAAAATCTAACAAACGTGAATGTAAAATTCAGATAGGACCTAATGTGAATATTCTGTACCTGAAGGATACGTTTGATGCGCTGCCTTTGAGGATTGTCACCGTCATCACTATCCAGCTGGCGGTGAGGATAACAGATAAGCTGCAGGAGCCGTTGGGCTTGAATGTTTACCAGCACTGGGTCCTGGAGAGCACTGCTGTCCTCCGAGAGAGACTTCAGGCACCGTTCTCCAACCCATTCCTACAAGAACACAACAAGATGTTCAGCCAGGGGGGAAAAAGCAGCAAATATGACTCCTCTAAGTTTCAGACTGAGTTTTAAACTCAGTCATGCAAAATAAGTACAACTAAAACTGGATTTGGTGGAGAAAAAAAAGGGCAAAAGGTTATTTTTGCAAACGCATCAAAGTGCACATGCCAAAGCTATAATTAGGAAATTGTGGCTAAATTTTCACAATGCCTCAAGGCATGTCAAAAACTCCTAGCTATTATCTAGAAATGTGGTTCAGCAAATATTCTCGTTGGTGTTTCGCCTTAGTGTTTTGTATATACTGTACTTTTCGCCGTTTAATATGCACCTTTTTTCATAAATTTGCATGCCCTGCAACTTATATGGCAAAGTGACTTATTTATGTTTTTTCCCATATTTATAACCCAATTTTTGGCTGAGATCTGACGTTTTCATTCATTCAGACAGAGAAAATATAGAACACTACCATTTTCAGCCGCTAGAGGGCCCTTGAGTGATATGGCAAGCCAAGTGTCCCATTAACAGGTAAAAGTGGCTATTAATGAGACACTTGGCTTGCCATACCAAGCCACATTTGTCTCGCTCCAGCACTCCTGGAGCAAACGTCAAAATCAGCTGCATTTAGCCGCGACGCCCAGGTGAAATGCAGCTGATTTGACCATTAAAGTGCATTTATTAAGGAAAAGTTCAACTGAGACACACCTTTGATATAAAGTCAAGCAAACAAATTGTTTTTAAGTGTTAATCTTGTTCAATTATTATTAATTAATTGTAAATTAATTCCGTGCACGCTCCCACGTCCGCTATTTGGCAGCCAATCGATTTTTGGCACAACAACGGCCCTCGTTTCCGGATGGTCAGCGGTGATGCATAAAAGATGCAACTTATACAGTGAAGTGACTTATTCATGTTTTTTCCCCACTTGATTAGACATATTTGGACTGTACGGTGGAAAGTACGGTACATATCTATACAGAAGTTCCAATGTTTTATTTTTATCTTTCCCATACCACAAACTGATTTTACCACCTGTGGTGGTGGACGATCTATTTATTTCATTTGAGATTTGTCCTCACCTGCTGGCAGATCGTCTTCAGGACATACTTTGCATAAACATCCAGGCTGGCTGTTTCTATGGAGACGTTGTGGCCTTCAGATATTTCATCTAGGCCAGAAGGATGCGACAGACCGGAGCCTCTTAGCTCAGCATCACCTGCAACAGCATGGACGAACAAATACATCCAGACTCATTGATTTAGTTTCCTGCATCATCTACTTCAAGGCCGAATGAATCAAAAGAGTTTTGACTGAACCAAACTGTTCAACGTTTAATCCTGATTAAGGTCTAATTTGAAACCACATTTAGTTGGACGATGTCCTCAAAGCTAAAGCTCACAGCAAAAGAGTAAAAGATTCATCATACCCAGCATGAATACGGCTTTAAGAACAGCAAAAACTGCTCCGACGACGATGCTGTTCTGCGATGCAGCAAGAAGGTGACGGTCACAAGACGAACGAATTCCAACTGATGGAAAGTCGTAAAACACACTTATGGACCAGCAGCCAACAAATCATCGTGAAAGAAAATAATTAAAAGTTAGCAGATGTGTTCACTACCTGACTTGACGCCATCTTGTGGCACAGGATTACGCTGCGGTGTCTTGAACAGATGCAACAGGATTCTGCAGGTGAGTCTTGCTCCGGGCTCAGAGTCTTGCTCACTGCAGGCTGAGAGTTGAGATTAAAAAAAACAAAACAACTTGGATTAATTTAAACAGCATTTCTTCAGATTACTGACAAAGCAACAGTTTTGAGAAAAAAACGCTTTGACAAATTTTTAAACAAAATAGTAAGTTATGTAGCAGTCAAGACAAATCAAGGAATAGCTGACTTCTTTAATTTTTTACCAAAATTGACCCAATTCCTGATTTAATGTGACGGATTTATTTAAATTTAAACCTTGTCCTTAATGGACCTGTCTCAGAATAGAATTTCTCATTTTCATTTTGATGTTTTTGTGAGAAAAAGAGCAATATTTACCACCAGTAAGAGCTGTTGGCAGTTCAGCAGGTGTACTTTTATAAAAAGAGCCAAACCCAACAAAACAACTGAAACTGAACGAGAATTTCTCTCCAACATGGGGAAAGAAGGACTGCAGCAAGGCTTTATGAACCCTGACCAAACATAATGCAGCGCTGGAAGTAATATATTATTATGCTGATTATTCCTATGATCTGACCCGATACGTAACATTTAATGTTTTATTAATCAGAATAAAAAAGGGAGGTTTTGTTAGAGGCAATGAGATTTTTCTTTGCTAATAGGTGTATGAATGAACGAGACATTAAAGGGAAATTAACCACCAGTTTGGGTTTCCTTTGCTTTAGTCTAATTAGTGTTTCCAGAAGCAAAGACTTGGTGTAAATTGTTACCAAAAGAAGTACTACATCACAACACTTACCTGCATTGAGAAGTGAGGGAATGGCCACACAGCGAACCAGGTCTTCAAGGAGCAAACACTGTCTGGCGATGAGAATGGCTACAAAGGTCGCCAGGGAATCATGGAAGGACAGATCACTAACCTGAGGGACAAAAGTGCACAAATCTAATTTACTGTGTGAATGTTCGTGAAGCATTCACACTATTGTGATCCATTATGTTTTTCGATGCAATTCTCATCCCGCAGTTTTGAAGCTATTTCAACAAATTATATCAAAGCGTTCAGCTCTTTTACAACAATCCTGCTATGACTTTTGGTATTTTTGAAATATTTAGCCTTTTCTGTCACTTTTTCCTCATAGGAAATGAACTGAGCTAATTTTAAATCATTCAAATATTTACCTTTCACTGCTCCATTCACATTTTGCTCTGGTTCAGCTTCTTTGTGCAAATTTTAACTTTTTTTTTTTTTAGCCACTTTCAGATAATTTCAGCTATTTTGTGCTCCTTCCAGGTTCTTTCTGCTAACTAGAATATTTTTTGCTCTTCTTCTAACTTATTTCTGCTAATTTCAGCATCTTATGCTCCTTTCAGCAAAATTCAGCCTTTTCTGCTATTTCAGCTACTATTTAATGGTTTCTGCTAATTTTAGTCTTTTCAACTACCAGATAATTTCACATTTTTTGCACTCATTTAGACTTTTTTCAGCTTAATTCAGCAAAAATCTGTTCTCTCCACTTCCTCCTGGTAATTTAAGCTTCTTTCTGATTTTTTGTGTTAAGCACTTTGATAACAGTCTATCTGTTTTAAATTGTGCTCTATAAATAAATATGACTTGACTTGACTTTTTTAGCTACCGGTACTTTTCAGCTGCTTTTTGCCGATTTCCACTTTTTGTGCTCATTTCTGCTTCTTTAAGTCAAGTCAGATTTATTTATATAGCACATTTAAAACAGAAACTGTTACCAATGTGCTAAGCTTATTTGGGCAAACGTGTTCTTTCTGCTTCTGCTAATTTAAGCTTGTTCTAACTTTTCAGCTACCTTTTTAGCATTTTTAGCTAATTTCAGTTGTTTTCAGATAAATTCAAGTTTTACAAGGTAATTGTTGCTACTTTCAACCTCATTAGCTTCTTTATGGTAATTTTAGCTTGATATGCTCCTTTCAGCTTTTTTCTGCTAGCTTCAGCTTTTTCCTGCTATTTCAGCTATTATTTATCTATTTTATGCTAATTTTAGCCTTTTCAGCTAATTCAACAATTTTTTAAGCTCATTTCAGCTCTTTCCAGTAGTTTAAGCTTCTTTTTGCCTCTTCAGCTACTTTTTAGCAATTTTTTTTATTACTAATTTCAGATATTTTTTGTGCCAATTTCCTAGTTTTTGTGCTAATTTCTACAAATTTATACTTAATTCAGCAAATGTGTTCTTTCTGCTTTCTTCTGTCAATTAAATCTTGTTCTTCCATTCAAGCTACAATTCAGCATGTTGTTTTTTTAAGCTAATTTCAGCTGTTTTTCAGCAAGTTCTTCAACAATGAGCATTCACGCTGCATTTTCTCAGGAAATGCAATTTCTCTAGTTAAAATTACTGTAACAAAAAACTATGTGAAATTAAAAAAAAAAAAAAATTGACTAGGAGACAAACTGAAGGTTATAGAAAAGTACAGACTTCTATATAAGAGAATTAATTTCCGTGCCACATAAAGACCTCAGATAAACTAAAAAAAACTTACATCTACATTACACAGCAAATCATTGAAGCCACAGTTGCCGTTGTTAGAGGAGCAGCAAAGAGCTTTGAGAATGCCGAGCCACTCGGCGCTTAGGGAGCGACAATATGCCGTCAGCTCCGCACACAGGATCCCAATATCATTCACCCTGAAAATACAGAACCCACCATGAAACAATAGCCCAACAAAACACAGTCATATGAAGCAGAATCATAACTCAGCTGTTTCACCTCTCAGGGTCTCTGTAGTCCACGCAAACATCCATGAGAACGTTACACACAAAGCTGTAGCGGTTGGCTGGGCTGTCGTTGAGGATTTTGCCCACCATAGAGTGGTTGAAGTTGTGGGCTGAGGGGTTGGCAATAGCCTCGTTCATGAATTCAGAATCCCAAAGCATGTTTGAATCCGATGGGTCGGTATTGCAGTAGATGGAGTTTTTTACTTTGGAGCAGAACTCACTGCGAGCACAAAGAGGTGAACAGAAATTACTCTTCAAACAATCTGTACCAGACAGACTGGTCAAAAAGGGCTTTACTGTGAGGATATATATTTTTAAGAGAAATAATGATTACAATCACTAATGATTTTTTTTCCTACCTAAAAATCTCTCCAAATTTGTTTTTGAGGTGATTGCAGGAAGTGTAGAGGTCATAAAGGTAAGCCAAGATGCAGCGTTCAGCAGAGGAGCAGTCTGCCGGGTTCACACCCGACTTCACCACAATTCGTAACCTGTTGAGAAATTAACACCTTACAGCTCCATCAGCAACACAAAGCATCACCTGTTTTTTCTTATAAAAGACACCTGTGAGCTAAATGAGGTGCTGAAACCAGGAGCTGGCTCATGTAGCGTTATAACAAAGACTAAAAATAAGAAAAAATACAGGTACCTTCTCGGAAAATGTTACTACCTACCAAGATAATGCAAATTAGAATACATGCCATCCCAAGTCCCAATCCCAAGTCTGCATTGTCATTGACAAGTTCTAGAATTGCGCCGCTAAAGGTGGCTGATGTTGGAGCAGCTCTGTTTATTTTCATTGTGGGATGTTGCTTTTGAAAACTTTAATTCCTCTTTTTTCTGGCTGTAAATCGCTTTTTTTGGATGATAATTCCTCTGAGGGCAGCACGGTGGCGCAACTGGTAGAGCTGCTGCCTCTCAGCGAGCAGGTCCTTGGTTCAAACCCCGGTCCAGGGGCCTTTCTGGGTGGAGTTTGCATGTTCTCTCCGTGCATGCGTGGGTTTTCTCCGGGTGCTCCAGTTTCCTCCCACAGACCAAAAACATGCATGTTAGGCTGATTGGTAACTCTAAATTGTCCCTAGGTGTGAGTGAGAGAGTGAATGGTTGTTTGTCTCGTTTGTCTCTATGTGTCCTTGTGACCCGTCCAGGGTGTCCCCCGCCCCTCGCACAGTGATTGCTGGACATGGGCACCAGCGACCCCCGTGACCCAAACTAGAATAAATGGGTAAAGATAATGGATGGATGGATGTTTCCTCTGATATCAGATGCTGTGCAGCTTGAAGGATTTTTACTGAAACCTTATTGCTTTTGGACATTTGTTATGATGCGTAACCATGACAACAATGTGGTTTTTACAATTGGGAGCAGCTGATTAACATCTCAAAAGCTCAAATAATACCTCAACTACAGCCCCAAATCACAAATGAGTTAAAAAAGGAGGTGCCATGGACGCATCCTCATCTACCTGGCGGAGGTGCTCGAGTACCTGACCGCCGAGATCCTGGAGCTGGTGAGAAATGCAGCTCGTGACTAGAAGAAGACCAGGATCATTCCGACACCTAAAGCTGGCTGTCCGCAATGACAAGAAGCTGAAAAGCTGCTGGGAGTAGTGGCCATCATTCAGGGAGGAGTTCTGCCCAAGAGTCAGGTGGTACTGCTGCCCAAGAAGACTGAGAAATCCACCAAGTCCAAGTAGAGCCAGATCTACATCTGCAGCCAGTTTCCTCAGACCTGCTCTAAGAAAGACCGCTACAAGAGATCCCTCCTGCCTACAGCCATCAGCTTCTAGAACAACTCTTTAATGAAACCAGGTTGATGAACTACATTTAATTTCCCTTTGGGATTAATCAAGTATTTTTGAATTCAATTGAATTGAATGTACCTGATTACTTCATTCACTGTGTTCACACAAAACGGTACCAAAATATAACGCTGCTGTACAAACGCCAACAGGCTGCAGCTGAATCAGGTTTGCACATCATGCCTGACACAGTGACCATGTTTGCTTCTTGAAAAAGTTTTCTTATTTTAAATTTTTTGCCAGTCTTTAAACACTGTTCTGTGCAAAAACATTGCTGCTACTAACATCTTCCTTATTCCAAAAAAGTTCAATCTGGTCCTCCGGACATTCAAAAAAACAAAAAACAAAACAAAGCAAAAAAAAATGTAGAAACGTTTCGTCTCATCCGAGAGACTTCCTCAGTCTGAGGAGCTGTATTCAGCTCAGTCTCTTACTATTTAAGAGACTGAGCTGAATACAGTCTGAGGTGACTGAGGAAGTCTCTCGGATGAGAGACGAAACGTTTCTACATTTTTTTGCTTTGTTTTGTTTTTTTGAATGTCCAGAGGACCAGATTGAACTTTTTTGGATTTTTCTACCTGGATTATTGAGCATGCATCAGGATATCTTCCTTATTCTTTTTTTTTTTTTTTAGGTAACTTGAAAGACTGTCGTAAATTAAAGCGGTGGCAAAAATTCAGCATAAATCTTACTTTACTTCAGCCAAACATCATATAATCCTCTATCTACCACCTCTAAGGATTACTAATTATTATGCTATATTCTATAAATTTATCATTAAAAAATAATGTTTCTTGGCTGGCAATTATAGCATCACAAAAAAAAAAAAACAGAAAAAAAAAAAAACCATCCTGTACAGCACATCAGCTTTTTTTTGTTATGGTTATGACTAATCTACAAGGTCACATAAAGGTACTTTTCATATTCTAGGGATGCTGTGCTCATGAATGATTTTCTCTCATCAACATCCCCATGAAATAAATTTGCTAACGAAAGTCAGCAGAACAAGTTTGTGGAAGAAGTGCAAACTGCCAATTACTTTCTTTATCAGTTTCTTTAACAACGCCAAACATCTTTTTTTACTACTTTAATTAAAAGTGTAATTGAAGCCTTAACCCCACTAACATCCGTTTGCGGTTGTATTAAACCTCCCCTTTCTGTTCACTGATAGGCAAACTACACTGGGAGCATACAAATGTTAGCACATTGTTACAAAATAATCAGAAAAAAAAATTGAATTTTAGATATACCCATCAAAAACTTGTGCTGTCTGCTCTGGGTTGAGAATAAAACAGGAGTGGTATCTCCTCAGCACGGCCACGATGCACAGACACAAGCTGGTAGTGTAGCTGCCCACCAGGCTGGACGACTTCAGCAGCAGCTCGGCTTCCACCAGACTTAACTCGTTCAGAAGCTGCGAAACAAAGAATAAAAGCTTCACTACGCACGCACAACAAATTCAAGACTAAAAAGAGGTTTATCTGATTTGACCATTGTTGACTTTGAGAGGTTTGGCACCTGAATAGCAAAGTCGATGAGGCCACTAATGTTCAGCGAGTACTCCATGAGGTCGAAGATGAACTGAATGTGCTGGACGAGAGGCAGGTGGTAGGACATCCCTAAGGCAAAGCTGGTGATTTGCTCCAGAACATTTCTGGACACCTGCACACAAAATCGATAACGGAAATAAGTTTGACAAATTATGTACACAAAGAAACAAGTGTGCTCATTCTTTGAACCTTAATGTTCGTTTTCTCAAGCTCTACAAAAAGGATAAAAAAATAACACATTATTGTGATTTTCAAAACAGAGTGAGTTGACGGGTTGGGTTATAAATAAAAGGCCTACTGAAAAGAAAATGTTTTGTGGGAAGCGCATGATGAATAGTTACCGTAAACAAGCTGGTTTGTAAAATATAAAGTTACAGCCTAAGAGTTTTGAACAAAGCATAGCACAAACACCAAAAGGCAGAAATAAAGTTAGACTGGATATTTCTGAAAACCTTTATAAACAGCCAACATGAGCATAGGAAAAACAGGTATGCACCCAAAAACAGAACATAATGCCTTTAACACAAATATGCCCACAGCTCGGATAGATTACTGCAGGAAGATTATACTTAAAAATGGATTAAAAATGCTAAAAAGCACTGAATGGCTGTCGGTCTCTGCATCTTGCATTAGTTTTCTGAAGACAGGACTTCTATAGGATTGCTATCATCTTTACATGAACCTGTGAATGTATATAAATCAAATGAAATTTTATTATGTGCCATATATTTTGCCATTTTGAAGCCCAAATTATATATATATTATATATAATGTGCTCTAAAAGACTGCATTCACAATATGTACTGTTTGCTGATTCAGCATTCACACAGTTTTTTTCCTGTTTGTTTTATTCCTCTACACTTTATGCAATCTAGTTACTTCTGCATACATTGTGCTGTTTAGCCGTTCATATATCAAAACATTTGGCTCATTCAGGAATGTAATGCTACAATTTTTGGTTTTTATAGCTTTTGATACTTCTCAAAATATTAAACTTTATTTAGAAATGGCTTCCCCATGGAAAATCTCAGTTACACATCATTCTTTCTGCTTGGGCCATTTTTAGCTTTTAGTCAGCATTTTGTTACTTTTAGCTTCAAGCTAGCCCTTTACTTTTTAGCTAGCCTTTTTATGCTTTTAGATAGTTTAGCTACTTTCATTTTTGGCTAGCCTTTTTTTTTAATTATTAGCTAGCAGTGTGCTTATTATTGCTTTTTTTAGTGTTCTGCTTCCTTGAGCTTTAGCTAGTGTTCTGCTTCTTTTAGCTTTAGCTAGTGTTCTGCTTCTTTTAGCTTTAGCTAGTGTTCTGCTTCTTTTAGCCTAGCTAGTGTTCTGCTTCTTTTAGCCTTAGCTAGTGTTCTGCTTCATTAGCTTTAGCTAGTGTTCTGCCTTTTTATCTTTAGCTAGTGTTCCGTTTCATTTAGCTTTAGCTAGTGTTATGTCTTTTTTAGCTTTTAGCTAGTGCTCTTCTTCCTTTAGCTTTTAGTTAGTGTTCTTCTTTTAGATTTAGCTAGTGTTTTGCTTCTTTTAGCTTTAGCTAGTGTTCTACTTCCTTTAGCTTTTACAACTTACTTTCAGCTTCTTAAGCAAACTTCAGCAGTCATTTCACAGCATTCACACTGGATTTGTGCAGAAAATGCAATTTCTTTAGTTAGGTTTTAAGGTGACTTGAACCCTTTCTCCATTCAAACTTTAGACCAATTCAATGTCAATTTGCAATGTTTTCATGAATTAACCTTCATCTGGTTACAATATCCTATGAAAAAACAACAAATTAGGCTTTATTTTCCAACCTGGGAGGTGACTTGGTGCTGATCAAAGTGGGAGAGGTGCTGGAATTTAGAGAAGATGTCTTCTGCAGTGGGAAAGGCCTCTGGCTTACTCCTCTTTCTCTTTTGGCCTTCCTCTCCTCCTGTGCGTGCAGGAAGAAGAGGAGATTAGGAAAAAGCAACTCATAATGGTCGGCGGTGTGCTGTCAATCAAATAAGCCAGCTGTGAAATCTTCTTAAGTGGTTGGTCTGTCATCGTTTTGAAACTTCTCTGCAAAAAGTGCTGCTATAAAAAAGGCACTTCAACAAAAAAGAAAGTGGTGCTTTTCATTTACATGAAACACGGTTGAGAGACGAGAGTCATCATGAGCTTAAAGGAATGTGCCACAGAACGGTCCAATCTGTGAATCTGCTAACTGTGAAATCCTTAAATCACCTTAATAAGGTCACTTGTATCAGAAATGATGTGGCTGTGAACAGATGAAAGCCATTAGCATAGAAATTGAGTGGAAAGAAGATAGACACAACCCCCTCCCCCCTCCAGGGTTAATGAAGAAAATGAAGCTTTTTTTTTTTTTAGAAGGTCAAAAGACAGCTGATCTAAATTTCACACACTGAAAGAGGAGAGCGAGGAGGAGGAGCAGCTGGAGTGAAATTCAGGACAACATGAGCCTACATGTGAACACAGTTTTGCAAACATCATAAAGCCTCTGCTTTCCACTTTGCTGTCTGGCAAAACAATATTTTTGAGGTGATAAACAGAATAATCCACAAACAGATGCAGGGGGGACCCACGCAGACAATAAAAAGGTGATCACATATGAAACTTTAGAGCAATTCCCCAGCCTGGATTTTCATTCTAGAGGATGGAAAGTAAATAAAATCATGGGGACAAGATGAACTGCACGTGCACAGCTCAGCTATAAAACAAGCAAATGGGAAATCCATCAGTCAGAAGGTGACACAGCTGAGACTTGGGCTACCTGTTTCTGCTGTGCTTTTGCGGTTGAGCACCTTCAAGATGTCTTTTGTAATTTTCTTGATAGTGTGTCGCGCCTCATCTCTCAGTTTGCCCACGCCGTAGAGGACGACTAGACGCTGGTTGCATTCATGACTGGCACTTTCCTCCTGGAGACGTAAACAAAACGATCCACGTAAACCAGATGCACCCAATCACCCCGAGTATCACAGACGGAACCATCCAAAGAAAACAGGAAGAACATGTTTTAAAAGAATACCTTTCCACTTGAAGGTTATTTCATAAAATAAAATCTCTTTGTTTTAGAGCTGAGCACAAACTTTTAAAATGATTAATTTAAAAAATCAAAAATGTTTTTGCTTAAATCCAACTGAGATCACCTGTCTTCTTGCAGAACAGGTGTCCAAAATGTGGCCTGGGGGCCATTTGCGGCCCTTGGAGTGATTTTGTGTGGCCCACAGCTGTAGTTTAAGAATAGTATTGGTTGATGCAGCCTTTCTGCAAATTAGTTAGTAATCCTTTTTTATATAATGTTGAGGTTTAACAGCAAAACAGATGAAAAACAATCTTCTCAAAATGAGCAATATTAATCAAAATACAAACCTTTGGCTATAATATTTTAAGTTTTACTTCATGGTACAAAACACCAAAAACCTTTACTGATTTCTACCAGAAATGACTTTTGGATAATGATTCATAAAATTTGGCTAAATATTGCAGTTCATAAAATAATTAAGAGGGACATTTTTAAATTAATATAATGTGGTATCATCTGCATACGAGTTGATCAACTTTATCAAACCTTCTATGAATCTGTTGTAGCGATTGACAGCTGGACAATTTTTCAGAATTTTGATCAGCCTTTTGGACTGTCCATGGTCCAAAAGGCTGATCGACCCCCTTTTAAAAGGACACTTAATCAAATTACACTTTTGTTGCTGAGAACAGACTAAGATGAACTTTCAAAATACAAGAAAATAACAAACATAGACCCAACAAATCAAATAAATCAAATCATTTTAAATAAAACATATAAGCTTAGTGTTTAAGGGTGCATTCACACTAGCCCTGTTTAGTCCGCTTTAATCGAACTTTAGCTCGTTTTCCTTGAAAGTCCGGCTCGTTTAGGGAGGTGTGAACGCGCCATCGAACTCTTTGTCACGGAACAAAAAGGCGAACTCTGGCCCGGGCTAAAACCTAAGTCTCGGTCCGGTAGAAGCGAACTCCAGCGCGGTTCGAGTACAGTGTGAATGTAAACAGACCGTGACACGCTCCTCAGGGTAAACAAACACGCATTGCTCTTACCTTATATGGAGCCGTCAGCTGCCTTGTGTAGAAAAACAATATTCTCCATGTTCTTCTGTCTCATCTTCTGCTCATGCTAAGTCCATTTTTGAAAAATGACAAAATATAACTCCTAAAACTGCTAAAACTTGGTGCCACTTCGTTTTTATTTTTATTTACAGAAGAAGAAGAAGACGTGTCTTCAGAGGTTTCTGTGTTGTTTCTTTCAGTAGTTCTTGGTGCAGCGCCCCCACAGGCGAGCGGGGGAATAGGTTGGTTCAACAGGTTGACTCGACTGCACAGTGCAGTGTGAATGCAAACGCACCAGCTCAAATGTAAACAAAAGCTCATGAATATTGGTCCCGAACCGAACAGAGTATACCAGACAATCTAGTGTGAAAACGACCTAAGAGGCTTTTAATGTTTTGGATCTATACCAATTTAAAACTCTTTCTCCACCACTATTAATAAACTTTTGTCCTTTCTCAAAAATATTGTTCACGTTGAGAGTTCAATTCACATTTTTATGGCCCATGAGTCCTTTCATCTTGATAGTTTTGGCCCACAGATGAAAGTTTTTGACACCCCAAAATAAAGGTTGCACTCTGTGTGTATTTCATGTTTAAATATTTAAGACTGAAATTGGAAATGTGTAAAAAGATAAAATGCCATTGTTAGTTTAGGAAAGTTAATGAAGGTGTGGCATCTGTTAAAAATAGAAGAGATTCTGTCAAAACTTTATGGCTCCTTTATTTTTTACATCTTTTATTCCATGTAGGGGTCACCAACAATATTTGCTCAGGGGTCTAATTTTATTTATTTTTTAATTTCGAGGCCACCCCCACATAAATATTAACAATAACATTAATAATGATCCTTTCGAATAAGTCCCACAGCTTTCAGCCCGATGATGGTATTCAAAGGAAAACTATATATTTTTTAATAACTATACGTGTATTTGAACTTTAGGGTCTTTTAGCTGATGCACAGATTCTGAGTGGCAGCAAGACATTTTGTTTATTAGATGATTGAAATCTACTCAAGTGTTGTCAGATTCACTTATTGGTATTTATGTTTATGACTTCACATATAAATTGCATTTGCCGTGTTCCTTTATTCTTACTTTAATAAAAATAAACACCCAGTTTTGATTTTTTTTGTGTGTGTGTTAAATATAAAATTGTAGTTTTGATTTTGTCTTTAAGTGCAAAAACTGGAAAAGCTAATCGAAAAACAAAACAGCATCACAAACATAAAATAATTTAGGATAAATTATTAAAACGTTGATAGACTTGAGTTCGTGTTTGACTTCACAAAGCAGAAATTCAAGCTGCTAGATATTCTTAAAACAGATTAAGATTGTATCTTTACCCAATTACCATTCAAAGATTAACCAGTGGAGCATCAACAGCCCGAGTGAGGCAGGTTGAGCTTCTGCCATAAATTATGTGCCTATTATTATAGATTGATAAATTATTTATAGACTTATAAGTCTCAGAAGGATTTAATTTATCCCTCACATCGATTGTTAAATTAAAACACAGCATCGTGAATTAAACTGGACGGTTTTGAGCATTTTTGATGATTTTGAGCTGCTTTAAAATAAGAAATTAATTTAAAATATATTAAACAACATGCACTTAATTAGAAAATTGATCCAAAATTTCTCCAAATCGTGTCTGTGAGGTGTTCTTACCTGTGGAATGGGGAAGTGAGTAGCATACTGAATGTGTCGCGGTTGGTCGTACAGTTGAGGGAAGGCAGGGTCCGTGCCCTTGTCCTTACAGCTGGCCTTGCTGTCCTGGTCCTGAGCGGGCTTCTCGGGGGAGGGGCTCCCCTTGGACTCACAGTGCATCGGAGGTGAGAACATCTGCAGAGAAGGACAGTCTGAGAATACCTCAAGCATGCAGACATGAAAAAAAAATCAGTAATTGTAAACAAATTATGCTTCGTCTACCTCGTCAAAATTAGCACTGGAGTTGTGATCGATTTCCATGGACTCAGACAGGCCAGTATCCTGCTGGATAAATAACTTCATGTTACTATTTTAACACTGAAGTGTTACGCAACAACAGCAAATGCCTCCAACGTGCCTCCATTTTGACACTGCTGCCTGCATCCTGCTCTTTGCGCTCCGATTCATCGGAGGGCTCGTCACTCGGGGAACGTGGCCGCGGCAGGTGGGAGTCAGAAGCCAGGTCGCCGCGGGAAATCAGCGTGCACATGTAGATGTTGTGGGAAAAGACGTCGTGGCGAATGAGCTCACAGAACAGAAGGACCAGGTTGGAGAACTCTATTCGCTCACTTTCATTTCCAGGCTCCGCTTTAAAGGAGCAGAAAAGGATTTAAATCATTTAATAACTGCGCTCCCCTGCTAAGACCTTTAGAATAAATATATGACTGGTACCGGTAATTAAATCAGACAAAAGTAGTTAAAGTTTGTTCAAATATTATACCGAGATCAACTGTGACACATTTTAGAAATGATGGAAATAAGACTCACTGAGTGTTGGTGCCTGCGTATCGAGGAACTGCAGCAGTACGTCCTGAAAGACGGGCAGCGTGGCAGCCGAGAGGGAGCCGGACGACACCGAGCCTTTCTCGTCCACCACCTCCGACTCACCGCACCTCTGCAGAGCAACAGACGCCAGGCAGACAACATGAAGTGAACTGGAAACAAATAAAAACATTGAACAGGGGGTGGTGGGAAGCATACCTCTGCTTCTATCTCAGCCTGTCTCTTCTCCAGCAGTTTGGCCACCACCATGGCCCTGTGTCTGCCAGACCGCTTGCAGCACACGGCCCACTCACAGAGCAGGGTGACCACAGCGTCGTCGTCTGGTGACATCTGAACACAAACAGGGATTGAGAGGAGAACTCAGAAAAGAATACTTTTGTGTCTCTTTTGTTTTACTGTTTGTTTTTCTCATGGTTTTAGCTATTTAACTACTTCTGCAAACTTTGTGCTACTTTAGCCATCGCATATCAAAACGTTCAGCTCATTCAGGTGATGTGTGCTATGACTAGGGAGGCACCGATCCACTTTTTTTTTGTCAATCACGATACCTAAATCTGGATAAGAGCCGATACCGATATCTTTCCGATATCATCATCATTATTGATTTTATACGAGGCTGTAATAATCTCCTCTCAAGTACAATTTGTACAAATATATGCGTGCATGTCCAAAAAGGCAACTTGAGGTAAGTTTTATTAATGTTGGATAAAGTTAGAATTAAATCCTGCTAACACAAAACATTGTTTTTTAATTATTCCTATCTTTAATGTGGATATTAACGTGATTAATTTAAGTGACGGTTTGTCTAAATTTATTTTATTTTTTAAATAAGGGGCAGATAAGAATTTGTTTCTTCTTTCTGCACTCTTTTCATTCCATGTTTTTTTCTTTTTGATGGTTTTATTTTGTTTCTTTTAAATGAATGAATTAAATGAAAAATAAATAAATAAATGGCTGTAAACATCTGCTAAGTTCATGGCATAAACCAACACAGACACGTCCCTGTTTTAAGTTTTTTACATCACTTTGTAATGTAGCTGGGTTTTTTTTTTTTTTTTTAATATGATTTTCATTGTAATTTTTAATTCATATGCCTTTTTTTTATTATTTTCTACTGTTGTACTGATAAATATCTCCTGCAGGGTAAACTATA